ATCTGAACCAATTAATCACAATGAGTTAGAGATCAAGAAAGGAAGTTTAATTAGATTAGCTGGCAAATCAGAAGATGAGTGACTAATGTCTCAAAAACCCATCCTCAAGGATTACAGAATCTTGAGGCAGTTATATAGGGAAAACGGTCAGTAAGGAGGGGGTCCAGGGATGTTGGTCTCCAGGCATGATGGGCTCCAGGCATCACATTGTTCCATTCTTCTGTCAGCTGTGATGGATACCTTGCAGGTGTGTTTCTCGCCTGTGGTCAGCCTGTTCCTGGAGAGAAACTCATAGAACAAAGTTTTAATTTATCAAACTATCGGGGAGTACATATGTAAGCGGAGGCCATAAATCAGGAGAACGTGTGAAGTTTTTTAGAGTACGTGCAGAACAGTGAATAGTCACACAGAGGAGGGGCTGGGGCCATTCAGCGAAACAAGATGGCCCTGCTTTTGCTCACTTATAGAGTGATTAGCAACATCAAGATAATTAATACATCCATCACCTCACATAGTTAACGCTTGTGTGTGTGTTTGTGGTGATAATGCCTAAGATCTGCTCTCAGCAATTTTCAAGCATACAGTACCATATTATCAACTATAGTCACCATGCTGTCCATTAGGTACTCAGAACTTACTCTTCTTATAACTAAAAGTTTGTACCGTTGACCTGTATCTCCCCATTTCCCCTCCCCCTAGCCCCTGACAACCACCATTTATTCTCTGTTTCTATGAAATTCGCTTCTTTTTTTTTAGATTCTACATATAACTGATACCATAAAGTATTTGTCTTTCTCTGTCTGACTTATTTCATTTAGCATAATGCCCTCAAGATTCATCCATATTGTTGCAAATGGCAGGATTTCCTTCTTTTCTATGGCTGTATAATATTCCATTGTATATATAGTTTCTTTATCTACTCACCTATCAAAGGACACTTAGGTTGTTTCTATATCTCGGTTATTGTGAATAACGCTGCAATGCATGTGGGGGTGCAGGTATCTCTTTAAGACACTGATTTCATTCCCTTTGGATATGTACCCAGAAATGGGATTGCTGGATTGTATGGAGGCTCTGTTTTTAATTCTTTGAGGAACCTCCATACTGGTTTCCGTAGTGGCTGTACCAGTTTACCTTCCCACCAACAGTGCACAGGGTTCCCTTTTCTCCACATCCTCACCAACACTTGATAGCTGTTACTTTCTTTTTTTCTTTTTAAAGATTGGCAACTGAGCTAACAACAGTTGCCAATCTTCTTTCTTTTTCTTTTCTGCTTTTTCTCCCCAAATCCCCCCAGTACATAGTTGTATATTTTAGTTGTGGGTCCTTCTAGTTGTGGCATGTGGGATGTCACCTCAACATGGCCTAATGAGTGGTGCCATGTCCACGCCCAGGATCCAAACTGGGGAAACCCGGGGCCACTGAAGCTGAGCGCACAAACTTAACCACTTGGCCACAGGGCCGGCCCCTGTTGCTTTCTTGATAATCGCCATCCTAAGAAGTGTGAGGTGATCCCTCATAGTGGTTTTGGTTTGCATTTCCCTCTTTCTGTAGGTTACCTTTTCAGTTTATTGACTGTTTCCTTTGCTGTGCAGATGGAGCATTTGGGGGGTGAGTCTGAGGTTGGAGTTCATGGATTTCAAGTGAAACCTGTTTGTCAGGTCATATGACTTTTCTCCTACAACATTCTCTGCAGAGAGAGGATAGGTGTGTAAATTAATACAGGATTAGCATGATTACGTCTACAAGAGGGTGTTTGCAAGGACTGATGATAAGGTTGGGGGGTGGGATATAGGTTGGACAAGAGGGAGAGTGAAGCCCATGGAGAGTGAACCTCTTCATGGATGCTGGAAAGGCAGTGGGTTTAGAGGTCGGCATTTAGAGGTCCAAGGTCTTGATGAGGTCAGAGAACTGTTGTCATGGGCAGCATTGCAGTATTAGCAGAAACGTCAGGACACGGGAGCAGGAACTGGGGTGTTTGATTTAAAACCTCTAAAGTGAGCAGCGTTTGAGGTTTATCGTGTTCAAGGTGGAGGAGGCGAAGTGGAGCTTGAGGCCCCCGGGACTGCACAGTGCAGGAACCAGGAGAGGCCACACGGACGAGGGGTCATCCAGCGGATGTGAGGTCCCTGGCAGGAGCTGGAGAGGAAGGGGTCAGTCATCTGCCTCCTCAGCCTCAGTTTCCTTTCTCTGCAAGACAGGGATGGCAGCTCCGCTCCCAGGTCTGGTGACCTCAGGTGTGGGAGGTGGTTGGTGTCACATCTTGTCCCTTCTCTTACTCCTCCCCTCTCCCTCTGGATGGCCAGCCCTTCAGAAGCAGCAGGAAGATGTAACTGCGACTACACAGCCTTCTCCTCTACTGGAGGAACCCGTTCCTCCACCTCCTTCCTTCACTCCTTCCCCCCAGGACATTTGCTGTGGGGACCTTGCTCTCAACTGGCTCCACGCTGGCGGTGCCAACGCTCCTCTCCGGGAGGCTGCGACACAGGACTAACAAAGGCCACCTGTCTCTTTCTTGATGCTTATGACTTCTTGATCCTTGGTATTTACAAAGAGTGGGAAGCATGTTACCTGAAGCATTTAAACGATTTTAGGTGGGTCACAAACGTCATATAAATATGCTGAATCACAGCATTGTTCCTTCACTCCACATGCAGAAAGTCTTAGGTTGGTGCTGCTGTGTCTTGAACGCCTGTCTCACGCCTGGTATGCTCCCTTTTTCGACATGGAGGAGGCCTTGAGTTCAGAGCCCTGAGTAGACAACAGAATTTAGTGAAACTGTGTTGCTTTCATAGTATTTTTATGGTTTCTTCCTATTTCTGTAATTGACACTCATTTTCTGCAGTCACCAACATCATCAATGATGAGTATTTTACGGCATTAAGTCAAATCGTGTCAGTCCACTGTTCAGCATCCTCCAGTGACATCCCAGTACATTTAGAACAAATCTGAAATGCTGTCTGTGGTCTGGAAGATTCTTCACCATCTGACCCCTGCTGACCTTCCTCCGCTTCTGCCGTCACTCTACCCTTCACTCACTCTTCCTTAGAGTTCCTCCAAAATGAGGAGCTCAGTCTTACCCCAGGGCCTTTGTGCCTGCTGGGCCATCTGCCTGGGACGCTCTTCCCCTAGCTCTTGCCATGGCTCACTCTAGTCCTTCATGCTGGTCTCTGCTCGGATGCCACCACCTCAAAGAGGCTCTCTCTGCCTACCCTAGCTAAAACAGCATGCAGATGTCCCCACCTGCCTCCCACTTCCCATCTCTCTTTAGCCCCTTATCTCTTCTTAGTGCTCCTCACTAACCGACATGCATCCATCAATCTATCATCTATGTATCCATCCATCCATCCATCCATCTATCTATCCATCTACCTACTTTTCCTTCCTTCCTCCCTTCCTTCTTTCCTCCTCTTTTTTCTCCTTCCTCTCCTCATCCTCCTCCTCTCCCCCACTCCCCTGCCCCCCCCTCTCTCATTTCTTGTGTCTAATTTATCTCCCCCACTAGAACGTGAGCCTTGTGAGGACAGCTCCTTGTCTTGGTCACTGCTCTGCCCCGGCCTCTGGAACAGTGCCTGGCGCACAGTAGAAACACAATGAATATGTATTTGAGAGAAAAAATAAATTAACCTAGTTTCCCCTTAAAATGCATTTATTTAAGTTGAAAAGCAGATCACTTCAAAGCAAAGCATTCGTCAGTGGTCTGTGTAGCGCAGTTTGTCCGACGACAGTAAGGTGCTCAGCGCTGGGCACACATCACGAAAGGGCTGTGCATAGGACTGCGGTTTGGGAGATGCTTCCCTGAAGCCGTTTTGGGGATATTTGGGAGAAGGAGAAGAATTTCCCACCACCTGCTCTGCAGATCAACAAACAGAACCACATCTCTTTTCTGGTTGGTGCTAAAGAACCTCTGAGCACCTGTTAGGTACCCCGAACTTCTAGATTTCTTTGAAGCACCCCCCAAATTCTGAACTGCCACCTGATCCTTCCCCTCACTATCCCCCTCACCCAGGGCCAGATGCCCCTGGAGGCTGCTGGGACAGTCGCTCAGTCATTTTTAAGCACCTGCTATGAGCCCAGCCCTGACCTAAGTGATTGAGATGTGTCACCTCTAAATGGTCAGTAGTATCGTCCCCATTATAAGATGAGCAATTACTCAAGTCACACACCTCATTGGGCCAGTGCATTATGTTTGTGACGTGAACCACTTTTTCCCTCCAGGTCTCTTTTCCTGCACATTCATGACACCCCCTCCCTCCTTTTCAATTCAGGCTCTCTGGCTACCTAGCTTGCTTGGCACTGACTTCCAAGAGCCACGATTTCTTAAGGAGACTAAGCTGGGAGCCTCAAAGACCCAGAGGAAAGGAGCGTTTCAGAGGGAAAGGCATCAAGAACTGAGGCACAGACCAAAGGCTATCATTTAGCCACACGTGTTTTGTTGAGCTTAAAAGCTATTTTTCAATTAAGAATCAATTGCCACTATTAAAGAATCAGGAAATTTTAGACCCAAGTTTGAATTTCTTGAAAATTCAGATGGTCAGGCCACATTGGGGCTACATTCCTATATGGCGGCCACCAGCTGGAGTTAAGTGTCAGTCATCCCATCCATTTTAGAGAGGGCCTGCGTTTGCCCATTTCCACAGACCTCACTATTCCCTATTGTCTTACTACAAAGGGCTTCACTCACTTACATTCCCTGCCTGATCTATGAGTTTATGACCTTGATCAAAAAAGGGGAGAATCTACTCTAAGACTAGAAGAGCATTCTCCTAGGCTCACAGGAGAGAAAGGACGATTGAGAGAGGTTTGGAGGTCTCTGGAGAAAGAATTGGACCTGATGGGGCCACGGGACAGGTATAAGCATTGGTGTGCTGGTAAATGTTTAATAATTGCTCTCCAGGAAAAAAAAATGTGTGTGTGTTTACGTGTACATATGTGTACATTTTACTTGGATGAAGGATGTGTTTGTTGCGCAAAAAAATTTACAAATTTACAAATAAACATTTCATTGTAAATATTCTTTATTATAAATTCCATAGAGCCAAATAATTCTCACAGAATGTTTTAGCTCATTTTTTGCCAATCTCTTGAGGCCAAAACCCACTATTGCTGCAATTTAGCCACGATTTGACAAAATCTGACTACCGATGAATGGCTGACAACAAGACAACTTGGCAAAGAAGTCACTCAGATCGCTGAAGGACAGGTGTAGCTCTGACATGAATGTGGGCCGCAACTTTTGTTTACATTAATGAGTAAGACGAAAGTAAAACAATGAAGATGTACAACAGAGCTCCTTCATCCCGTACAGGAGCAACGTGTTTGCTGAACTGGGTAAGTGTTCGAACCCTGGAACAATATTCTCTCCATCTTTTGTGCCATTCACAAGGTATTGGCTACAGACACACTTTTAAGTTTAATTGAACGTTTTATCCATCCCAACCTTCTTAAGACTGGAAAATCAAGAAACCAAGCCCTGATGTGTAGTGTTCCTTAGTCCCCGTGGTGCAAATACACTCCCCACGGCCAGTTTCCAGTGACCCACGTGACGTCATTGAACGCGTAAGATATAATAGACGCAAATAACCTCAAGAGCACGGATAATAGTAAAATGTAGTAAGATAAGGAAGTGATGAGTTTTTAGTTTTTAATACCTTTGTTTTCAATATAATTTATTTAATTATAAGTTTAAATAATTTAATTTTTTCAATGGCTGTGTTTAACCACCAGTTTGCAAAAATTCTGAAAATTCAACCATCAGCTCTCAGGAGCCAGCATGAGCCAGCTGTAGTACAGCACTGGATATGAGGGAAGCATCTAGACACGAGAGGAGAGGAGAAGTCGAGGGGCCACGGTCCTGTGCGGGCTGCATCACGCCCACGGGAGCAGGCCGGGTGACGCCAGCACCCTGGATCTGTGCCAGCTCTTCAGTCTCGTCAGCATCCAGGAACTCCTTCCCGCCAGTCTGCCTTTAGTGACCTCTGGCCTCAATCTCCACTTGACTCACCCCTTGGGGGACGACCCTTTACAATGTCCCAAAGGTGAGGACCTGGGTAACAGGGCGAGCAGAGATCCCCCATGCCCTGGCTAGCCAAATGGGACCAGCTGAAGACCCTCCTGAAGGGAGACAGGGGTTAAATACACCCACAGCGGCAAAACCATCCCCATTCTGCAGATGCCGAAACTGAGGCTTGAGGGAGTCATTACTTACCCAAGGTCAACAGCTGCCAAGAGGTGGAGGCCACACGGGCAAGCAGGTAGGTCTGCCTCCAAACCCACCTCCTCTGTGCAAAGCCCTCCCACACCATCCTGGGAACAGCTCCCGCATGCACTGTGATGGCTCCTGGATTTTAGTGCACCCAACTTTGGAATCCCATTTACCTCTCCCCTAATTAAAACATATATCCCCCAAAGAGATGACCAGCAATCGGAAAGCAGGACCTATGTTGGCTATTTGTTGTATTACCAGCATTTAGAATTCCGGCTCACTGGCGTCAGAAGAGATCTTAAGAACTGCTTGGTCCAGGTCGCCCATTGTACATACGGGGGAAACTGAGGCCCATGGTCATAGAGCAATAACACCAGCAGAATCAGAACTAGAACTCAGTCTGAGTTGCTGGTGGATGATAAATATTCTGGGAATGAGAATTAGAGGCGTTGACCAAAACTGAGAACTAAGAACCAAAACGCAGGTTTCCTTCTCACCAAAAAGTCCCAGGAAGGTGGAAAAAAGAGAGCGGAGTAATATGGTACCCTCAGCTGGATCTAGAAGTGATCCCAGGAGAGACTTCCTGCCGGGGTTGGCACCCCAGAGACCCTCTGAGAAAGCCATGGAGCAACAGGGGCTCCATGAGATGTTCTCCTTATAAGTACCGCGGGGATGCACCGTCATCGGGGAAACTGAGGCAAGAAAGTGGATCCTCAGCAACCCTCAGAGCCCGAGACTCAAAATGAAGGCTTGTGGGTTCTCAGACTTTCATCCCAGCAATAAAAGCCTCTTCTGAAGCACAGACAGCTTTTGAAGGACCACGTGGAACTTGTACTCCGGGGCCTCGGTGAGCCGGAAGCTGGAGACTGTCTGCCAAAGCCGTGCTTCCAGCATCTTCCAGGCAGACGGGCTCGTCAGGAGCCCGCCGAGACCTCGATGCGGCTGTACTGGACGCCAGCGGCGCTCTGCCTGTGGCCCAAGCTCAGGGCGAACCTGTCAAGCAGAGTGAGGTGGTCAGAGGGTGGCAGGGCCTGGGGGCCTTCCCGGGGGACCCCACCCCGCCCCACCCCCACTCCTGCCCTGCCCCTTCCTGCTTCTTGCCTTAGCAGTGAGCGTTTCCATCTTCTGGACTGCTCTTGCCTGGTCTCCCTTGTCCGCCCTCGCCCCCACAGCCTGCACTCCCATCATAGCTGCAGGGACCTTTCTAAGCACAGAGACCAGCTCCCTGTCACTCCTGCTTAGAAGGAGCCCTCATCATGCCCAGCCTAACATCCAGGCCCCTCTCCGCGGCCAGCTTCTCCCACTTCCACCTCCTTCCACTCCCACTTGTTCATCACACCCTGGCCACATGGGTCTCCTGTCACTCTCCAAAACACCCCTCTTGTCCCACCCCAGGGCCTTTGCTCTTGCTGTTCTCTCCCCTAGAACACTTTCTTCCAGCTCTTGGAAAGGTTGGCTTTTTCTCATCATTCAAATCTCAGCTCAACTGCTGCCTCCTCAGGGAGGCCTTCCTTGAGCATCCTTTCATTCATTCAACAGAGACAGATTCAGATTCATTGATGACGTGTGATGTGCCGGGCACTGCCCGAGGCCCTGGGAACAGAGCAGTAAATGAAATAGGTACGCAGAAATATCCCCGCGATCGTGAATAGTTTACAGTAAATTTGGATCATGAATGTCCCTATGGTATACCTGTACTCCAGCTAAAGAAGCCATGCCCCTCCCCAGATCCACTTTCTGGTGGCTCACTTTCTAATAGGTTAACCCACCTTATTTTCCTCATACTATAAACGCCACTCTGAAGTCATCTTATTCATGCATCTAAGTATTTTGTAGTCTCTCTCTCCCCCTTACATTAACATGTACATTCCCCCTAAGGGCAGAGAAAGGGTCTCTCTTGGGCACGGGTCTATCCCCAGAGCCTAGTACAGTGCCTGGCTCCTAGTTGGCCCTAGAAAATATTTGCTGAAAGTGAATAAATGGACTCCTGAGAAATTGGGATTAAAGAGGGATTTCTGAAAGTCCTTTTTTGTGATCCTATCATCTTGGGAATGGATGGGTCCCTTCTAAACCTAAGTCACCTGATTAGAAAGAGAAATGAACAAACTTACGGTGCCCACGGACCACAGACTGAAGAGGGTCTGAGCCCCTTGGTTACTAATGCCTCTCTAAAGGAACTGAGGAAGTGGACCGATAAGATGCAGATCCCTGTTTCCAACAAGTCCGTATGAGGCGTGAGGACGTGAATAGATTCAAGCCCCATAGCAGTGGATGTTGGCTCTATCCAGCACCCATTCTCCCGTTTCCTTGGGGAATGAGGTTGCATGTGGTCTTGGTAGGATTGTCAATCAAGGAGCTTTGCCCTATCCTGGCCAAGCTGGGGGTTGGAGGTGGGCACAAAAACTAGGCTTGGCCAATCAGACTTTCTCCTGGGAATGTGACTCTTGTAGGGAGCCACAAAGCACTGAGAACAGTTGATGCTGAAAAGACTGTCCCGTTAGTGCCAGCTGTTAACAGCCCGGGGACTTCCTTCCCTGTGGTCTCCGGGGGCAAATTTCCTTCTCTCTCTCTCTGTGGCCTCTGAATTAGGGGCCCCTTGAACTACAGGAACTGGGGTCATGACTCCCCTAAACTCAGACCTGCCTCTGGACCCGGCCAAAGCCCCTAACTTCCTGTCTTCTCCAGAGGTCACGGCTGACCCAGCCTCCTTTCCCCCAGGGCTGGCCCAGGCTCCCCTGTGTGACGCTGTGCCCCCAGGTCTGGCCTGACGCTCTCCTCAGCTGCAATCATGTGCTGCCCTACCCCAAAGCTGGCTCCCACCTGCCTCTCTGCCTACTTTGTTCTTTGTCCCAGAGGAGGGGTCTGGAATCTTCTCCCAAGGAGGCCAGTATGGCAGAGATTCCAGGTGGTTCGTGGTATCTGTACCTCCCTTATGTCTAGTAACAGCACCCTTGACTTTCAGCTGGGCACATGACTACTCAGATGAAAGGTAATGTTTCTGAGCCGCCCCTGCTTGGAGTCGTAGCCAAGTTCTTTCCAAAGGGACGTGGGTGGAAGTGACGTGTGCATCCTTCAGGTGGTGTCCTCCTCTCCCCTGTCCCTCTTGCAGGAATGTGGTGGCTCACCATCACGGGCCACGTGGAAAAGGTAATACTGAAGAGACGGCAAAGCGACAAGAGAGAAGAAGCCTGGGACCCTGGATGACCTGTTGGAGCACAGCCCTGGACCCCTGGCATCTGGACTATTCCAAGCAGCCAAATCTATTCCTTAACTACCAGGTCTGGGCTGCTGAGGGGCCTGCAGCAGGTGCCACCCAATAACTGGGAGTGTTCAGCTGGCACAGCACACTCTGGGGTGGGTGGACCAGGCGAGAGGTTTTTACTCTGGACTAGTTCTGCATCCCTGCAGGGGCCAGGCTGGGGTGGGACGCGGCAGGCAGCTGCACGGAGGCAATTTCCAATTCAATATTAGGATGATTTCTTTTTTAATCTTTTAGGACCTCTCAGGAGTAGAATGGTGGTGGGGAGCTGGTGACCCCCTTTACTACAAGCAGTAACTGGAGGCATTGGCCAAGGATGCTTAGGACTATAGTACTCTCAAGTCCCTTCTGATCCCCTGCTCCTCTCTTCTCTTATTTGAATAGCCCAAGGTCCTGTGAAGCTAAGATTCTGAACTCCTCTCCAGGACCTAAAGATCTTACGTGATCTACCTCCTACCCACTTGGCTGATCTGATCTTCTACCCCTCCTCCCTCCCTCTGGTCCAGCCATACTGGCTTCCTTGCTGTTCCGTGCACATGTAGATATACTCCCGACCTCAGGCCCTTTGCACTTGCTCTTCTCTCTGCCTAGAACTCTCCTCCCCCTCATCTTTACATGGCTGCCTCCTTCTCACTAACTTAAATATCGCCTCCTCAGAGAGGCCTTCCCTCTCTGACCACCCACTCTAATTTAGCCACACTCCCAGTCCCTCTGTCCCCCTCTCCACCAACCGGGCCCTCTCAATGAATTTCACTCCTTTTCATTTTCTTCCAACTACACACGACTCACTGAAATGCTGTTGCTGATGCCTTTGTTGGCTTGTTTATTTATAACCCCTCCTCCACTAGAATGGAAGCTCGATGAGGACAAGAACCTTTTCCGTCTTAATCTCGGCCACATTTCCTACAGCCCAGAACACTGCCTGGCATGTAGCACGGACTTGATAAATGTCCACCAAGTGAGCAGATTAAGCCACAGTTCTTTGTGTGTGATTTTAAAGGGCCACGGCTGTAACGTTCGGCTTCTCCAGGCTGCCACGACTCTAAGACCCTGTGGTTCCAGGACCGTGCTGTTCTAGCCTCCTGTGATCCCATAACTGGGTGATTTTAAAATTCCTGTGAGCTGGCCCTTAAAGTCACGTGAGACTCTGTTGTAGGAAGAAACAAAACAACTCGAGGAGAACAGCCCGTGTGTAAAGACAGGGCAAAACTCACAGTGTCCAGGCAGGAGAAGAGACGGGAAGAGAAGGAAGAGGCTCTCTTGCAAAGGGCAAGCACGAGGACTAAAACGCAGAAGCGAAGTCCTCAGGTTTGCTGCGGCTCTGTCCCCAGGCCGGCCCTGCCCCGCTTACCGTCTCCTCTGGAACTGCTGGTCTATCTCTGCCAGTGACTGGCCTTTCGTTTCAGGGACAAATAAATAGATGAAGCCCAGGCCGAGGACGGCGGTCAGCCCGTAGAGCAGGAAGGTCCAGGACAAGCCGATGGTGCCTGAGAACAGGAGGGCGGAGTGTGGGCGGGGGTGTGGCCTGGGCCCATGGGCTGGTTCACCCAAAGCGGATTCTCCAGGCGGTTGACTTGCAGAATGACCAAGTTGTCAGACAAGACCCTTAGAGCAGGAGGAGGGCTGGTTGTCCCAGAGGCAGGCAAGGGCCAGGGTCCAAACACAGACAAGGGCATCTTGTCTTTATGGGAAAGCCCACTCCCCCGCCCCCCACATCTAAAACACTAACCAGTGAGGTGCCCTGCATCTGAAAACGTGAACGGGGAAGACGACATGGACCTCAGCAGCAAAACAGCTGCAGGGCGCAGCCTCGGCAAAGCCCAGCTCCGGGAGAAAACCCTCGGAAAGCCCATGAATTGGTTATTCAGTGAATTGAGCTGTCAGGGAATCGCGTTTCAGCCAACTCTGTCTGATTGGTCCGGGGGAAGCACAGAAACCTCAGCACGCCAGCCCCTCCCCCTTCCTGGAGCCTCATGTGGAGGCCAGGGTCTCAGGGTGAGCAACCAGGACCCCTGGGATGACCCTGACTCCTCTGAAGTCAATCAGCCCAAGGCAGGGAGAGGAGGCTGTGAAGGACGGGACTTTGTTGAGGCAGAAGCACAAATTATGTTTCAGACGCCATCGCCATCTTCACCTCCAACAGCCATGGCCACACCTCCTCTGAGCAGCCTCCCCTGACCAGCTTGCCCTCCACTTAATTCTTATAAGAGCAGGGAGAGAGCTGGGCTCGGGGCCGGGAGGGCTGGGTTCTAGTCTTCTCACTACCTGGCCAGTCTTGGGAAGGGCATATTTCCCCATCTGTGAAATGGGGATGAGAAGGACATGATACAATTCTCATAAGCCCCTCCTTTCCTTCCTCCTTCCTCCTTCCTTTTTTCCTCCCTCCCTCCCTCTTGCCTTTTTTCCTTCCTTCCCCTCTCTCACTCATTCATTCCACATAAAGGGAATGCTTGAAGACCGAGGCGGTAGGAAGAAGCTTGGGCTCCCCAGGACTGGGGGTGGGAGACAAGCTCGGTGGATGAGATCTTCCAGTGTCTTTCCCACAGTCCCCCAGGGGTGGCTGTGCCTTTGAGGAGGAAATGCTTGGCTGCAGGAAATGGGAAAACAACTGAACCCTAAGAACTGAGCCTTGGGGCCCACAGTGAAGGAGCCCCGCTCACTTTGGTCCTGATAACCAGTGGCTTTGGGCCACGAGCATCTCAGCATCTCGGAGACGCTCCCCTGGTGTTCTGGGCCCATATAATTCCCGCCCCGCCCCATCACCAATTAGACTGGGTTTGAATGCTAGGTAAGAAGAGAGGATGTCACCCCAACTAATCTGAGAAGACCTTCCGGCTGGCAGGAGGGCATGAGTCAGTTTGAGCTGTTTTAGGACAAAAAGCAAAGGCTGTGGTTTCTGCACCCACTGGTCTCAGACAAGTTGTCACCAGTGCTGGCATAGATTCAGTCATATCTTCTGTTGTCTTTGTCCCCCAGTCTCTCTTCCCCCTTTATCTGATATCAGGCCCTCAATTTTCCTTTGGGTAACCATCCCCCCCATGCCAGTCCATGAGGTTGGGTGACACTGTCCCCAGCCCCTGGCTCTAGGCTGGGTACATGCCCCAGGCCTGGGCATCCAAATAGTCCAGCCCTCCAGCCACAGTGATTGGTTCAGGGATGGGCATGTGACCTTGCTGAGCCAATGAGAGTCAGTCCCCAGACTTGAGCAAGAGCCACTGGGAGAGAAATGCTCTCCTTCCACAGGGCTGCCAAGCTGGAGGTCTGCTGGCGGCCCTCTTTGCCACCATGAGGGGATCTGCCTGAGAACGAAGCCCACGGCGTGGGCGGCGGAGCCGAGAGAGTGGAGGATGCCACATAGTTTGGTTGGAGGCATCAAACACATGGCTCCGACATTTGCTGGAGCTTCTGGCTCAGCCATGCTTAAAGCTGACCACCCTCTGTTTTTGGGTGATTTCAGATAAAAATAGTACCTTTTGATCATCGTTTGCATTGGGTTTTCTGTCACTTAGACCCTGAAGGATAAGGAAGCCCTGGCTCTGTCTAGAGAAAATTATTCCCAATCTGGAAGGAACCAGGCCAAGGAATTAGGTGTAAGGACTCACCGATGAGGTCGAGGAAGGAGAGGCTGATGAAGAGGTTGGCGGCCCAGTTGAAGCTGTTGCAGAAGGCGAAGGCCCTCCCTCGGATCTCCACCGGGTAAATCTCACTGAGGACAAGCCAGGTCACTAGGGCAGGAGAGCAGGGAGGGCGTCTAGGCTGCGGCCAGGCCCCAGGGCCCGGCACCGATGGTCCAGCAGGCAGTCCCCCCGCAATGTGATTCCAGCGGAATGCAGGCTCCTGATGCCCGGTCTCCCCGGCTGATCCCCACACCGCTGTAAGAATCCCCTTCGAGAGACCGGCAGCCTCGGTTTGCCCAGGACTGAGGGGTTTCCTGGGACAAGACACTTTCAGTGTCCTGGGCAAACTCAGATGGTTGGTCACCCTATTCATTAAATTCCTTTCAAAGAAACCCTCTTGAGTGAGCTATCCAGGGGCACATTCGGGTTTTATGAGGCCTAAAGCTTAAATGATTTGGGGCTTTTATAAGAAAAAGAAATCACAAACAAAAAAATCAGGCCGCTGCCCTCAGAGGGAGTGCCTGCAAGTCAGCGGGGAGCCCTGAAGCTTACACTCCCCTGGCTTCATGCTCAAGCCACCTCTAGTGTCCCTCCGAGAGACCCTGTCTGATTCGGTCCCCAGGCTTGCCGCCAGGAGGGGTGGAAGGGTCCAGGGTTACCTGCAAGAAGACTCCCACCTACCTGGTCCGAACCCAAAGGAGAAGGCGCTCACAAAGACCATCATGCAGAGCAGCGCGGTCCAGTGCAGCAGGACCCACTCCGGAGCAGGAGACGGGGACACGGGGAAGGTGGTGCCTAGGGCTGGCAGGGGAGGGGTTGTGGGGTTCCCAGCTCCAGCACGAGGCTTGGTCTTCTCAGAGGTTGACCAGACTGGCTCCCCTCGTCTCTTGCCGGTTGTTGGCAGTGGAGGTGGCGATATGCCCCTTGGCAGGCCAGAGTCTCCAGGGAGGCCTGGGAGCCTGGTGGCATTGGGCATGGCCAGGCAACTTGGGCCTGAGTCCATGGGCACAGCAAAGCTGACAAGACCCATGCCGCTGACTGACAGGGCCATGAGGGCACAGCCAGCTAGCAACAGGGCCCTGCGGCCCGCTCGGTCCACCAGCCCCATGGCGACCAGGGTAGCTGCCACCTTCACCGCGCCAAGCCCCACGGAGGCCAGCACAGCTGAGGATCCCCCACGGAAGCCGACAGAACGGAAGATGGTGGAGGCGTAGCACAGCACGTTGGGCTGCCCTGTTAGCTGCTGGAAAAGCACCAGCCCCAGCCCTACTGTGGTCCGGCCTCGCATGTTATCCCGTGCCCTGAAGAGGTCCAGAAAAGAGTATCTTGGCCTCCCCAGGCCCAGCTTGGTGGCCTCACCTCCCTGGAGAGGGATGAGGTCCTTGTGGGCTGCAGCCTCATCTGTACCAGCAGGGAGAAAGAGGAGGCTGACGGATTGCAGGAGAGCAGGTGCAGCAGCCCAGCCGAACATACGCCTCCAGCCCCAGGGGGCACCGGCCAGTGCATAGTTGAGCGCGTAGGAAAGCAGGATGCCCAGGGTGATGCCTGCCTCGTAGAGGGACACCAGCACTCCCCGCTGCCGTGGCCCCACCAGCTCTGACACGTAGATACAGCAGGCCATGGAGGAGAGGGAGATGGCGAAGCCAGCTGCTGAGCGGCCCAGAACCAGCCAGGTCAGAGAGCCAGCCAGGCCCAGGCTCAGGCTGCCTGCCAACAGCACCAAGTTGCTCCCGAGGATGGCCTGTTTCCTGCCATAGCGATCCATGAGGAAGCCCCCTACCAGGGAGGCGAGGAGAGCCCCCAGGAGCAGGCTGCCTACCAGGAGCTCCTGCTCCAAGCAGCTTAGCGCAAAGTCAAGCTGCAGGGGCAGCAGGGCGCCTGATATGACTGCCAGTTCATAACCAAAGGTCAGGCCACCTAGCAAAGACACGGAGGCACACAAGGGCAGGAGCGGTAGGGGGCGGCCTGGAAAATAAAAGTGACGGGGCAGAGCTCAGGATGGTTCCTTGCCAGAGCATCCATCCATCCACCATCCTCATCTGTCAACCCTTCCATCTATCCATCCAGCTACTCCATCTATTTACCTATCTATTCATCCGTCCCTCTACTCCATCCAACCATCCATTCATTTACTGATCCATCCATCCAGCTATCCTTCATCCATCCGTCTAATTCTTCCTTCATCCATCCACCCTCCATCCATCCACTCCATCCATCCACCCTCCATCCATCCACTCCATCCATCCACCCTCCATCCATCCACTCCATCCATCCACCCTCCATCCATCCACTCCATCCATCCACCCTCCATCCATCCACTCCATCCATCCACCCTCCATCCATCCACTCCATCCATTCACCCACCCATCCATCTACCCATGCATGCATGCATCCATCTGTCCACTTCTTCCTTCATCCATCTCTCCCTCCATCCCACCATCCATCTACTTCATTCATTCACCCATCCATCTATCTCCCATACATCCATCCACTCCTTCCTTCATCTACCCACCCCTCCATCCATCTACCCTATCCATTCACCCATCTATCCATTTATTCATCCATTCATCTATCTGTCCATCCATCCATCCACCCTTCATCCCTCCATTCCTTCCTTCCTTCATCCATCCACTCCATCCATTTGCTCATCTATTTATTCATCAATCTATCCATCTATCCCTTTATTATCCACTCCTTCATCCATCCATCTACTCCATCCACTACATATTCTTCCATCCGTCTGTCTATCTATCCCTTAATTCACCTAGCCATCCATCCACTTATTGATCCATCTATCTACAAAGACATCCATTCATCCACCCATGTTTGTATTCCATCCCTTATGTACCCACCCACATATCCACCCATCCATCCATGCACCCATCTATCCATCTGTCCATCCATCTATCCATCCAACCATCCATCCATCTATTCATCTATCCATCCAATCATTCAAAAACTTATTTATCTAGCATCTACAAGATGCCAGGCAGTGTTCTGGGGGCTGGCAATACAGTGGTGTTGTCAAGGACCTGACATTCTAGTAGAAAAAGGCAGATGATAAACAAATAAACATATAACATTACTTCAGGTGGTGATAGGAGGCATTAAAAAAAAGCATAGGAAGTGGATTGAGAATGATGGAGGAGTTCTATTTCAAACAGGGTAGTCAGCTAAAGCCTCTCTGAAGAGGGAAAGTTTGAACAGAGATCTGATTGAAGTGAGGGTGAAAGCCATGTAAAATCTGGAAGAACATTCTAGACAGAGGGAACAGCAAGAACAAAGGCCCTGAGGCAGGACACTTTTTGGTATGTTTCAACAATAGCTATTAATATTAATAGCTCGTGCTTATATGGCACTTACTAAGGTCCTGTTTTAAGAGCTTTACACGTATTACCCATTTAATTCTTATAACAACCCTATAACAGATCATTATTAGCATCCTTCTCCAAGGTGCAGAGAGGTTAAGAGACTTCCTCATGGTCACACAGCAAGTAAGTAGCAGAGCTGATGTGGCTACAGAGTGCAGGCTTTGAATCACTGTGCTATTCCACAAGGAGTCCAGAGTGGCCGGAGCCAGTGAGTGAGTGACAGGAGATGATGAGGTGGGAGAATGAGGCAGGGGCCAGATCACGTGGAGCTCTGCAGGTCATGAGGACAATGATGAGTTTCCTTCTCAGTGGCTGGAAGCCTTTGAAGCTGGGAGAGAGATGATCCACGGTAGTCAGGAGCACATGTGGAGACTGAGCCCTTAAAATGTGGCTAATGTGATTGAGAAACTGAATTTCTAATTTTATCTAATTTTAATTAATATAAATGTGAAAACAGCCACATGTGGCTAGTGGCCACCATATTGGCAGTGCGGTTGTACAGTTACTCTTAATTGTTAATTCACATACTTAAATATTTCTGAAAGCATCTAGAGTAATCCAGTAGCATCCATCTCACCCACCCCACTCTGGACCTGACAAGAACACTCACAATACTAGAGCCAGTGGTTTCTCTGGATTGGGCATTGCTTTGAATGCTTGAAGTGCAATAACTCATTTAATCCTCCCCACAACTTTATGAGGTGGGCTTCTGTATTATTTATGCATGAATAAACTGATCGTCAGAGAGGTGAAGTGACTCGCCTAAGGTCAAAAGTACTAAGGAGCTGGGCCCAGATTCAGAGCCAGGCGGTCCGGCTCCACAGTCTATACCCTTGACCACTCCATTATAAAACCTGGGCACGATGCCACTCTGTTCTCTTCTGCCTCGCCCCATCTCTGTTAGGCAACTTCTGTGCAGGGGAGGAGTTTCATGGCTGGAGGAATCTTTCTCCCCTTTCTGTTCATCCTTCTCCCTACCACCCCCACCCCGCAGGGAAATAACCCCCCACCATTCCCTGGCTGGCCTGGTCCTTTCTGCTCATGACCATCAATAAACACCCGGGAAGATTATGCTGCCCGGGTCCTGCCCCGTCTTCACCTCCCCGGGCCCCGCCTCCCCCGGTTCCTGGAGTTTACAACGTTCTTCCAGGCCACATGAGGCAATCAAGTGAAAACACAGAACTTGTTTGCCATTTCCTCAGGTCCTCTCGAGGTGAAAGGGCACCCAGCCAAGGGGCACCGAGGCAAAGTCGACTGTCCACAGGTTCTGCTGGAAAAACGCTTCGGGCAGATTTGGGTTGCAGCGGTAAGAACAGAACTGCAAAAATTAAATAGTAACAATAACAGGGGCCATGTACTGAGCATCTCCTCTATGCAAAGACCCTAGGTGCCTTCTCTCAATTCATCTTCATAACAACCCTCGATGGTACTGCTACAAGTATCCCCATTCTACAGATGGGGAAACGAAGGCTCAGAGTGTTCTCATAGCCGGGAAGCAACAGGATCAGGACTCAAACGCTGACCCTCTGACTCCCAAAGCCAGGGACTTGAGAGCTTTGCTGAACTGACTTCAAGCAAGAAGAGCCAATCAGAGATAGGTGGGGCGTGAGAAAGAGCAGGGTGCAGGGGAAAGAAAGCTCTTGGGAAAACTCCAAGTCACAAAGCATGGGGAAAGGACACTGTCACGGGAGCTCTGAACAACAGCCTCCAAGGAGTCGGGGCCGTTAGAAAGACAGGCCCTTCCTTAAGTTTTCCAAGGCTCCCTAGCTCCTTAGCATGACCTCCCAGGCCCTTCACGAGCTGGTGGCTCAGCCAAACTCCTCAGCCACCTCTCCTCGCCACTCCCGGTCCCCCCTCCCTGCCTTCCTTCCACACACACCCTGCAAACGCTTGTTCTGGCACGCACCGCAGATTTTCATGCTGCTCTGCCTCTGCCTGTGCTCGTCCATCTGCTTGAACCGCCTGCATTCCCAAATGCCCACTCAGCCTCTCGGGTCCCAGCTCGCGGGTCACCTCCCGAAGGGCCTCCAGTTAACACGTCTGTTACTTGGCATTCATCCCCGTTCTCTGTTGGGGAGCTGCCCTTCCCTGTCCTCTGTCTCTCAGTCTCCAGATCTGGGGAGAAAGGACCATCCCCACGCGGACCGCCACCGCCCAGCTCCAGGGTTGTGTCTGTGACCCAGATCTGACCAACCAGCGGGTTCCTGGGCCCTGGGCAGCAGTGAGGGCCACGTGGCTGAACCTGGGCCAGGGAGGGTTGGCTCAGCCCTGGGGGCGTTAGCTCACTGAGGGTGCTAAGCTGGTGGTTCACCTGCCTGGAGCAGCGGGGGGCCGTCTTCCTCCATGAGGGATTCCTGACAACACTGCTTGAGCCCCTAGATCCAACCATGCCTGACGCCATGGACTTTTTGGTGACCAAAAATACTTTTTTTTGGGTAAGCTAGTTTAAGACAGCCCCTAATTCCCATACATCTTCCTCAACTTTCCAAACCACATTTTTCTCTTCCAACCAACTCTGCCTTCTCCTTCATTTGCTCACACCGTATCACGAGTTCGTCAACGTGTCGCCTTATTAAACTGGGCGGGGCAGGGATGGAGACTCACTGTCTCTGTGCCCCAGGGCCCCGGCCCCACTCTGACACGCAAGACGGGCTCAACGAGCCCAATGAACCAAGGACTGGGTCGGGGACCAGGATGGTATCACCACGTGGCATTCCGGGGGTGGTGTCAGATACAGCTGAGCCTGAAAAAAAGCTACCCAGCAGCCAGAGGGATCCAGTGACAGCCTAAGCAGCCCATGTCACTCTGCTCAGAGCCCCCCAGGCTCCCACTTCACTCTGAAAAACGCCACAGTCCTTCCAGTGGCCTTCAGGGCCCTGCAGGGCCTGCATCCTCTCACGCCGCTCCGGCCACACCAGCCTCCGTGCTGTTCCTCCTCGCTCCAAGGGCATCTCGACTCAAGGCTTTGTACCAGCTGTCACCTCTGCTGGGGCAGCCCTCCCCCTCCATGCCAATGTGTGCCCCCGCCTCCCCTGGATCTTCACTCAAACCTCAGCTTCTCGGGAGGCCTTCCCTGGCCCTCTACTCAAAGGTGCCACCTCCCCACAGCATCCAGCACTTCGAATCCCCCTCCCCTGCTTGTTTTTCTCCACCGCACTTATCACCATCTGAAATACCTATATATTCTATGTATTTGTTGGTCTCCCTGACCAGAATGTCAGCCCCGAAGGAACAGGAACTGTCTGTTTGTTTAGCTGTCTGCCTGATGCTGAGGCTATTTCCTGGCAGATGGCAGGCACTCAGTAAATAATTGTTGAATAAACCGACGATTGAAGGCAGGAATGAACTCTGGGGACGTAGGGAATCCAGAAAGAAAGGATGGTAGCCCTTGAGCATCTGGGGGGGTTCAGGCCTGGAAGTGGCCATGCACAGGACGTGGAGTAAATCCTAGCCCCCAAATTAGGACAGCCTGGCCCGGGTTTAGGAACTGCTCTCCCTTTCTGTGACTTACCTGTCCAAATATAGATTGTAGTGAAGCTGTCTCACACTAGAGGAGGTCCCTTAATCCTCTAAGCCCCTCACGGTGGAGGGAGGGAGAAGGAGGGGGCAGGTGGAGAGGAAAGAACCCAGGTTTGGGGTTCACGTATCACCAGCTGCAAGTCCCAGGATGCCTTCTGTCGGTGACACTAGAGCAGCCTCTCAACCAGCAGTCACGATGCATTGGGTCCCTCCCCCACCAGAGACCTGCCATGGCTTCCCCCGAAGCTCCAGGGAGAAGCTGGGATGAAACCCAACTATGCAAACATCCTCACCCCGAAGGCTGGCTTCCAAACGTCCCAACACAGCTAACAGCACAGAGCACTCCGGACAGCCAGCCGCCCCCTCCTCTTCCAGAAGCCATGCCTGTACCACTGGCTTAGTCCCTGTAGCAACTCTATGACATGGCACTGTTGTCATTCCCATTTTACAGATGAAGCAACTGAGGCTCAGAGGGGCGAAGACATTTGCCCAAGGTGACAGTTTGCAAGTGAGAGAGCAGAGATCTGAACTCGACAGTCTGACCCCAATGTTGGGTGTGATTAAAAAACAAAAGCTCACATTAACTGACCATTTATCACGTGCAGGTGGTGAGCGGAGCACGTTACATTCCTTTTCTCATGTCCTTCTCATGGCCACCCTGTGAGAGGGTACTCTATAGTGGCCGTTTCATGGATGAGGAAATAAAGTCAGAGAGGTTGACTAAATGCATCTGGGAAGTGGAAGGATGGGGGCTGGAACCCAGGTCTTTCTGACCCCAAATCTGTAAACAGGCCCAATCTCTGGACCTGCCATGAAGAAAGCAGCCTGGGAACCCTGGGGAGGATGGAGCCTAGTGCCAGTTATTTTGTTCCCCCCTGCAACTACCACCCAGCCCCAGCTCTGCCCATAGTAAATGCTCAGTAAGCAGCTGCTGAGTTAACTTAGGAGGCAGCAAAGGAATAGGGGACAGGTGCAACGGGCCAGGGCCAAGTTCAGTGTCCTTGGGAGGACCTTGACCTCTCTGGGCCTCCCTTTTCCTCAGGCTCTGTGGCAGAGTGCCTTGGCGATTAAGAGCACCAAGCAGCCAGAGCTGGAGTTGGTCACCAGCTGTACCATTACCCTGTGCAGGAGAGGCTGGGTGGTACAGTGGTTAGGAATGCAGACTGGAGCCAGAGGGCTGGGGTTCTATCTCCATAGCTGTGTGACGTTGGGCAGCTCACTTAACCTCTCTGAGCCTCCCCATCTATAAATGGGGCTAATAGTCATACTTACCTCATATGCCTGCCTACCTTACAGCCACTGTTAGCTATTATGATTCGCCACAGAACAATCTAGAATGAGTTTTTAAAACACAGTTCAGGCCATGTCCCACCCCAGCTTAAAACCTTTCTCCAGCCTCCCATGTCATTTGGAATAAAATCCAAACTTCTCACTATGGCCTCCCAAGCCCTGCACAATCTAGCCCCTACCTATCTCTCTGACCTCCCTTTCACTTCTCTCCCCCTACACTGATCATGACCACACCAGCTCACTCCTGTCTCAGGGCCTTTGCACTTGCTATTCCTGCCACATGGAAGCTCTTTTCTAGATCTTAGCAAGCCCACCTCTTGTGAGTAACGATATCTCAGCTCCAATGCCTCCTACTCCGGGAGGCCCTCCCTGCCTACCTATCTAAAGAAGCTGCCTTCCCATCACTTTCTATCACAGCACTGTATTATACGTGTTCCACAGCATCTTATCACACTCTCAGATTCTTTTATTCATTTACTTGTTTATCTTCTCAACTAGAATGTCAGCTCTATGAGAGAGAGGTTTATTATCTATTTTGTTCACCCTGAGCCCCCAAGCCTTAAATCAACGTCTGCCACACAGTAGGTGGATGAATGAATGAATGGCCCTTTGAGGCTTCTGAATCCAGAGAGAAAAACAGAAAGCTTGATGCCCCGTAGCAACAAAGAAATTCCTATTCCCCCACAATTCTGCATTCTCCTCTGTCTCCCCTCCACTGAGTATCTCAAGAGCCGAGGTTCGCCGTCTGGTTCACGGCGGCATCCTCAGGCCTGGCGCACGGAAGCGCTCAGCAAGTTGACAACGAATTTGCTCCTCTGCGTGCCCCTATTTCTTCATCTGCACAGGAGGACGATTTCAGTCGCCTGGGGGTGGCCGTCAGGCTGGAAGCGGTCAGCCGAGAGCCCGGCCCCGAGTAAGCGCGCAATTTCGAGCAAGGAGCACGCTCAGGGCACTTTTTTCTGGGCAGAAAGGAGTGTGGCAGGAAGGGTGCCAAGTCCCTTCCCAGCCCCCCGCCGAGGCCTGCGTCCGGGGCTCGCGACCGAGCGGGCGGGATCTGGCCGGGCGCGCAGCGGGGCGGGGTCGCGCACGGACCGGGCCGCGGGGGTCCCTCGCCCGCAGCGCCCGCGCGACTTACCCATGGCGAGCGGGACTCCGAGGCGCGCTGCGGGCCTGGGGGGCCGGGCGCGCATCCCCGGCCCGAGTCCCCGCCGCGGCCGCCCGCCCGACAAACTTTCCGGCCCGCCTCCCGCCTCCGTCCCTCCCTCGCCGCCTGCCCGCCGGCGGCGCCGCCGCCACGTCGGCCGGCTCTAGCCCCCGCTGCTGGAGGCGGGACCGAGGGGCCCCCCAGCCACCGTCATCCCAGCTGGGAGGGGAACTCACGTGCTGTCCTCCCCTGTCCTTTCCGCAGGGAGGGGACACCCCAATCACTGCAGTCCACACTAGTGCGGTCTCCCCAGCCAGCCTGTGTACACACACACGCTCATGCATCTACTCTGCCCGGGACACTCACACATACCTACTTGCGCCCCTCAGACGCTCTCCCATGGATCCCTCATCCGTTCACCGGACTGGGCCGAAGGGCCCACAGGCGCTGTGCTGGGCCTTGGGAGGGGCTGAGAGAACAAGACAGATGTTTTTGTTCTCATGCAGTTTGCTTTCTAGTGGGAGAAGAAGAAAAATAAACGACTAAATGAGCTGGCGAAATAGCAGCAGGTGATAACGGCTAGGCAGAGCATTCAACTAGGGTGATGGGGTAGGCAGGCACAGGTGGCCGGCTTGGCCTTAGCTCAGGGGTCCGGGAAGGCTGCTCGCAGGAGGGGATATTTGAGCTGAGACCTCAGGTTCCAGGGAGAAGGAAGAGCGAAGGCAAAGGCCCCAGGGGGAGGGAGCTGGTGGAGTATAAAGAACAATGGAAATGAGCGCAGTGTCTGGAGCACAGGGGCTGACAGGATGGAGGGAGATGGAGCCCAAGGGAGGGGTGGGCAAGGGCCAGATCATTCAAGGCCTTGGAAGGCCAGGGTCAGGAATGCAGATGTTATTCCAGCTGACACAAGAAGTCACTGGGGAGTTCTAGGTTACAGGGAGCAAGAGCGGAAAGAGGGGGACCACTCGGGAGGCTGTTGCAAGGTGTGAGATGCAGGTAATTTGGACTAAGGTCACAGCAGGGGGGATGGAGAAAAGGAGGCAGATCAGAGAGAGACTGATAAGGACTTACAGGCTGGGAGAGGAGCAGCTTGGGGCAGAGGAAGGAGGTCTCCAGTTGTTCTGGCTCTGTGACGTTTAAGGTGCTCATTAGGCGTCCACGTGGAAAGAGGTGGCAGTTCGCTCTAAGAGCTTGGAGTTCCGGAATGTACGAGTTCAGCACTTGTGGTCATGGGCTTATCCAACCGCTTGTTGCGTGTTCACCCACAGACACATTCATTCACATGCATCACGAGCCATACCCTCGCCCAGCAGGAATCGTGCGCCACACACACAAACAGGCACCTCGGCACAGAAGACAGCATGGACAAGACCTTCCGAGCCAGGGAGCCTTGTAGAGTTCCGAAAATAATAAGAGCTGGGGCAGTTTGAGAACATGGCTCCAAAAATTCTTTGTTCCCTTCCTTGAAATCTAGGTGGGCTTGTGACTGCTTCAACCAGTAGGTTGCACAGAGTGGCACTGTGTGACTTCTGAGGCTGAGTCACTGGGACACTGGCCCCTGGAGCCCTGAGCCTCTAAGAAGTCTGACTACCCTAGGCCACCAGGCTGTGAGGAAGCCCAAGGCACATAGAGAGCCCACGTGTGGATGCTCCAGTGGGTGGTCCTCGCCTCTGAAGTCAGCCTGGCACTGGCTCCAGGATGAGCCTTCAGATGATTCCAGCTCCCAGCCATCACATCTTTCCAGCTGAGGCCCCAGACATTGTGGGGCGGAGACAAGCCATCCCTTCGGCTCCCAGTCTGGATTCCTGACACACAAATTCCATGAGTATAATGAAATGGTTGTTTTAAGGTGCAAAGTTTTGGAGTAAATTGCTTTGCAGCAACAATAACTGGAATAACAGTTTAAACTATTGAATGATAATTATATCCGTTGCTTTAAGCACTTCACATGTGTTAGCTCACTGTTAACCCTCACAACTGCGTAATGAGATCGGGACTGTTACAATTTACCCCCATTGTATGAACGAGGAAACTGAGGCAAAGGGAGGTGAAGAAACTCGCTTGCATAATAAACAAATAAATAAGATATACAGTGCTCAAGGACACACACTAAAATATAGCTGGGCTGGGAGTCAAGCCCAGTTATAGGGAAATTCGGCTCTTACCCATCACGCTCTACTGCCTTTCTGGCACGGAGAAGAGCCCAAGGGGGCCTCTTGGCCATCGCCACGTGACAATTCCTCCTTCGTCTGTGAGTATCTGGAATCGTCACCAGGAGGCCTTGTACAGGAAGGCCTGGGCTGTTCCATTGCTGGGAGATAACCTGTAGAAGTTATTGATGGAAAAGGACGTGAAGTTCCCAGGCGTTCTTTGACCTCCATGGTGGCACTAAGTCATAAGGTTGTTTGCGTGCCTGCTGCCAGGTTTTGTCTCTCTTAGAGAATAGAGAACCCCTCCTCATTTGTTGCCCCAAATGAGAAAGGAAAAGTTCTAATTGGGCATTTCAGTAGGCATCTTCACAAATGGCTTCCCTTGAGGGTGGGCAGGACCTGTTGACTCATTTCTAACAAATACAGTACAGCAGAAATGAGGGTATCATCTTAGAGATTAGGTTATAAAAGACTGGGATTTTCGTCTTGTTCACCCTCTCCTGATCTCTCACCCACTCGCTCTGATTCAGCCACCCGCCATGCTGGGTGCTGCCCAATGGGGAGGCCCACGTGGCAAGAACTGGGGGTGGCCTCCAGGCAACAGCCAGCAAGGAAGGAAGGTCCTCAGGTCAAACAGCCCATGAGGAACCACATCCTGCCACTAATCAAAGAGTGATACAAACAAACAAGACAGTCTGTGATAATGCAAAAGAGGGACACCAGAGCTTGGAAAAGTTGGATTTGCTCTCCTCTGAGAAAGTCAGGGAGGGCTTCCCTGAGGAATTGATATTTGAGTTGAGAATGGAAAGATGTCTTGATGGGTCTAGGCAACAAAGGGAGGGAAGAGCACTTCTGATGTGGGAAATAGCAGGTGCAAAGGCCCTGTGGCAAGAGGGAGCCTAGAAAGAATGAGAGATTGAGAGAAGGCAAATGTGTTTGAAGATCAGAGAGCAAAGGGGAGTTTGGTGGGAGATGAGTCTGGAAGAGGGAGATAGGGATCCTGGGCAGGATCTCATGAGTCTTTATCCCGGGCACGATGAGGAGCCATTGAAAGGTTTTAAACTAGATTTCCTACCATAGAAGGGAGAACCAGTCTGACCATAGCAAGCCTGGGACTTGATATTATGTTTACACAGTGGATTTACCAAAGGAGGGGTTCAGATAGATTTGGTAACCATGGAGATGGCTAGGTGGACATCAACAATTATGAAAATGAAGCCACAAACTTGGAAAACTGGGTATTATAAATAGATTTGGTTCAGAGTGAGCTTTGAGTAGTATGGGCTGATGAAAGGTGCTGGAAACTACATTATGCCAACACAAAGGGTCTGAGGTTTGAAAAGGTGACCTGCCCCGTGTATGAATGAAACGCAGGGACTGTGGAGCTGAGGGGCAGTGTCATAGCAACGCTTGGACCAAAGGGCCTTTCTTCAGTATTTCAAACAGGGTCCCAAAGATGGGGGAGGGAAAACGAACACATGAAGAGTGGATGCTACCCACCAGGCATCCTCACCAGCAGCATCTTATTTAATCTCAATAAGCAACTGCCAAAGGAAAACTCATTATCCTTGTTCTGAAGATGATGAATCTGAAACTCAGAGAAATGATGTTTGTTGCTGCCCCCCCGCAGTGTGACAGGCACTTGTGGCGCCTCCCCAGGAGCCATGCCCAGCTCCCTTCTTGCTTGCTGACAGAGCACATCTCCATCTACAGAGGCGGAAAACGCCAGATCCTTACTTTTCCAGCTTCCTCTGCAGCTAAAGCAGAGACACATGGGCCAGTTATGGCCACGTCCTATAGAGGAAGTCTGACGGGAGAGGAGAGACCTCCAGCAAAGCCTTTTCTCCCAAAGAAAGAGGCGTGGATAGGAGGTAGCACCTCTATTCTTTAGCCAGATGTTTTTGTGTCTTCGAATCATGTGTGGAACTTTGGTGGCCATCTTGTGACCATAAGGTGACAAGTGTAAGGAGGAAAGCAACCTGACAAGAAGGCAGAAAGATGGAAAGACCACTGAAATCATGAGGTGACTGAAGGACATCTGAGACCCCTTCTTAAAATTTTGTTCTGTGAGATAATCAAAGAACTTACTGTTTACCTAAGTAAGCTAATTTGTTGACTAATCTGTTAATTGCAGCTTCAAATATCAAAACTGTGGCCATCTACGAATTGTCCCCCATTATACTTCCTCCCCTACTTCCTATAATAATTCCCCAAAGTTTTAGCTGAGGCCATGGCTGCCCTGCTAGAGAATACATTTCCCAGCTTCCTTTGCAGCGTCATGGGCCATGTGAGTAAGTTCCGGCCAACAGGATGTGAGTGGGAGCGACTGCGGAACTTTGGGTCAAGTCCTTAGCTGCCTGTTCACTACTGCCTCGCCCCCTCCTCCTTCTTGCCGACTTGACTGGAGAGGAGGACAATGGAATAGACCCAGAGAAAGTAGCAATGGGTTAAGAATGACAGATCTGGACTGCTACATAAAAGAGAAATAAACATCTCTCATACGTAAGCCACCATTTTTAGGTTACTTTCTTATAGCAGCTTATCCTGTAGCCTGACCAACTAATACAGTAACCAAAATGCATAGCCATTCAGTGGTGGGACAAGTCAGGGTTCTCGTTATAAGCCACACAAACTGCCTTGCTCCTGTGTCTGAACACTGGCAGCCAAGACACGGGGGAAAGGTGGGGCTTCTGTGGGGGAACGTGGCCTCAATGGTCGCCCGGGACACCACACAGTGGGTAAGGCCCCTTCCCCAGGAATACTGGTTGGATGCTGGGAGTCTGCTTACAATAGCTACTATATTAAGCCGTTCATAAATAATAATAGTTTTCATTTATGGAATGCTTACCATGTACCTGGCATAGCTCTATGTGTTTTACTTCTGGTTACTCATTTAATTCTCACGAAACTCCTCCAAGATGGGTATTATCTACAATCTTATCTTATCGACGATACACTACAGCACAGAGTGGTTAAATAACTTGCTCCTCCTCAAACATGCCAAGCACACTTCTGCCCTAAGGCCTCTGTACCTGTTAGTCTCTGCCTGGAATGTCCCAGGAATCCATTCACAGGGCTCAAATGTCACCCTTTCCTTGAAGCCTTCTCAACCACCTGATTTAAAATCGTACCAGTCTCCACTCCCTCACTGCCCTCCACTCTACTACCCATGGGGTGACTACATAATTTACCACCCAAACTAGTATGTTTTTAAGAGTGAAGAGGGGACACTATTAATAGTTATGCCAGGACAACAGGTAACAATTGGGGCCGTCCCTGGCAAACTGGGATGCATGTCATCTTAGCCACCCACCTTCCCTACTTTATTTTTCTCCAAAACACCTATTACCCTGGGTCAACTATACGTCAACCTTACTTATCTTTTTTGTTTAGTCTGTTTCCACCTAATAGAATGTCAGCTCCATGAGGGCAGGAGTTAGTTTCTGTTTTATTCACTGCTGTGTCCCAGAGGCTAGCACAGTGCCTGGCATAAGGTAGTCACTCAATAAATATTTGTTGAATGAATTGGTGAATAAGCAAATAAATAGGCATCTGGTGCTGGTGGGTAGGAAGTCCCCTTCAGGGCCAGCCTTAGGCTCAAAAAGGGCTAGGGCAGAAAGAAGCGCTCTCCCACCGTCCTCCACTGCTTGGCTATGGTACCCAGAGCCCGGCTGCCCATTCCACAGCCAGTGGTAGAGGCCTTGAGGTGCCACGCCCATGCAGTCGCCCCAGACTCGCAGCACCTCCCTTCCAGCAGGAAGAGTCCTTTGGGACACTCCCTCTGCTCCTGCCCTTTCAGCTCCCAGCCTGTCCCCAGTGCCACACTGCTCCAGCCACATGGAGCTGCTGGCCTGTCTCTAACCCAGCCCTACCCTGTGTAGGTTCTCCTGTCTGGAACCTGAGCACCCTCCCACTACTCCACCTGGTCAAAGGTGGAGCCACCTGGGGAACTCAGGGAGGGAAAAGGCACAGGGACATGAGATACACACTCAGCAGGAGTGTAAACAGGCACAAAAGCTGAGAGGGCAGTTTGGCTGATGGATGGGTCACCTTTTAAAAGGCTCATCTCCTACATCCCAGCGACATCAATTTCAGAAAGACGTCCTCAGAAGCATGCACATGTTCAAGGATGTCTGGATAAGCCTGCTCATTGCAGCACTGTTTGTGAGAGAAAAAAAAAGGAGAAAACCAAAACAAAGCTGCAAACAACCGTTTAGCAACAAGGAACCGGCCGTTTAGACGGACGTGGTAGCTCTGTATGTACTGATAGGGAAACTGTCCAAGATAAACTGCTTGGGGGGAAAAAGCAAGTTGCAAAAGAATAGACAGCGTGCTCTCGTTTATACTGGGGAAAATCCCATACCTATGTGTGAGAGTGCGGGTGTATCAGAGAGAAGATCCGGAAAGAAACTTTCTACAATGGTAGGTGGTGGGCAGACTGATGACAGCGACAGGCATTCTTTGATGTTTCGTGCGTGCAAAATTCAGTATTGTAAGATTTTGTTACAGCCTGCGTTAGCTTTGCAATGAAAAATACATGCAAACCCTAAGAGTGTGCTAATCGCTCCCAGTTCACTGTTCCCTCTGGAACACTTTTTACTGCCGAATACACTTAATTAATGAACGGTCGCTACTGCTATCCTAGCACTAAAGACGATGCCGGACACACGCCTCATTGTCCATCTGCCACCCCTAGCTCTGGCTGGTGTGAGCCCCTTTTGCGGGGAATTCAGGACCCAGGGGACGAGGAGCTCCAAGAAGAACTCCCATAGATACTGCTTCCCAGGATCCCGAGGGACTCCTGCAAAAGGCGGAGATTCCGAAACGAAGTTATCCGGAAAGAGCCGAAGAGCTGGGAGGTGGGGCCACGAAAGCCGACCGCGAGAGTCACGAAGGACTTCGGGAGCCAGCCGCTCATCGAGAGTTGCCGAGGGTTTACGGAGATAGCCGAAGACCTGGGAGGCGAGGCTACAATAGCCGTTCCGAGGGGCAACGAAGGCTTCGAAAAGAACCGAAAGTTAGGAGGCGGAACCGCTTCCACAAGGCGGAAGTGCTCGCGTTCGAACAGCCGAAGAGGTCCGAGGATTTCCGGAGCGAGCCGAAGCGTCGCCGACCGTTTCCGGAAGCAGCCGACGGACTCCGAGGGGCGGTGCTGAGGCGCAATCATGGCGGCGCCCAGTGCTGCTGCGGCTGAGAAGAACGAGGAGCCGGCGCCGGAGGCCGAGGCGCTGGCCGCCGCCCGGGAGCGAAGCCGCCGCTTCCTGAGCGGCCTGGAGCTGGTGAAGCAGGGCGCCGAGGCGCGCGTGTTCCGCGGCCGCTTCCAGGGCCGCGCGGCCGTGGTGAAGCACCGCTTCCCCAAGGGCTACCGGCACCCGGCGCTCGAGGCGCGGCTTGGCCGGCGGCGGACGGTGCAGGAGGCGCGGGCGCTGCTGCGCTGCCGCCGCGCAGGTGAGGCCGTGGCGCGGGGCCTCAGTTAGCTCGCGTTTCTCCGTCGGTGCCTCTGCGGGGCCTTGCGTTAGAGAAGTCGTCCCTTCGTCCCTGTTCGCCTTCATTCCTGCTTCGGCCGCTGGCCCCGCAGCGACGAGCCTTCGTCCCGGGGCCCCCGCGCCTGTTCCCTTCCCGGACCTCGAGCGTGTTATCTGACCGCCTGAGCCTCAGTTTCCCCGTTTGCACCGTCTTTGTTCTCGGTGGTTATCTTCTCGTCCGTTCCTTTTAAGAAGCAGATGTGATGACCAGTCCGTGCCAGGAGCCAGGCTGTCTGCGTCCAGACACGGACTCCGCTGCCGCATATGCAGGCTTGCAACACGTTATTTAACCCCAGCCTCAGTTTCCTCGCTTGTACAGGGAAGGCATAGTAGCAGGAGCCATCTGATAGGGATGTTGCGACCGTTAAATGAGCTAGGTATGCCGTGTGTTAGGTTTGAATGGATTGCTGGCCCACGCCGCTCGGTAAACTTAGGTTTCGTTAAATCGTTTGCTTCTTCGTTAAGACATCCCTGTGCACCACATCCATAAGCCTTGTCCTCAGATGAGGCACTGACGCTCAGAGAGGGGAGGGAACTTGCCGAGGTTACACAGCCAGGCTCCCAGCCCGAATCCCTCTGGCTCAGAAACACGGGCGTTTCTCTGTTACACGTTCTCCCTTTCTCTTTCGTTGGTGTTTTTTAGGGGCCTGCGGTACCCCAAGACGGTGTTAGGTGCTGGCAGATCTGGAGGAAACTCGGCAGCGAACAAGCAGACACATCTCTGCCCTTGCTCGCATTTAGTGACTTATTTGTGGGGTCATGTTTTCTGTTTTCACCCTCTTTGCGGGTTAAGTCCCGTTAAGCAGGGATCGTGGCTGCCTTGTCTCCTGCTGTATCTCCCGGCTCTGTCTCCAGGGTCTAGATAAGTGTCCTGAGCATGAGGACAGTCAATAAAGAGTCTCTGAATCTTTGGACTCAGTGAATTCATTGAATTATTGGAGGTATTGTTCTTATGTTATAGAAGCAGAAACGGAGGCTTAGAGAAGTTAAGGTGACTTCAAGTTTACGTAATTAATAAGGAAAGGAGCTGGGGCTGAAGCAGTCCTTTCTGACTGGGAAGGGGAAGCTCTGTGCCAGCACGCTGCTTGGCCTCCTGTTTGTGTCCTTGTCAGGTGGAAACGGCTCTCCCCGGCTCTGCTTTATCCTCCGGCTCCTTGTTTTGTTTTGTTTTTTAGGGACTAAGTGGGTCAATGAAGTCCAGTCACAAAGGGTGGGAAGAAGGAGGGAGCTGTGGCACTGCTGACCTCAGCTGTGGGGTGGCCAGAGGCACAGCCTGCAGAGCGTGAGCCGGGAAACTTCCAGATGAGTTTTCCAGATGAGTTAAGTTGTACCGTTCTGCAGCATTCCTAAGTCTCTCTCCTGAAATAAGCAGACATAGACTAGAAAAAACTGGTTCAGTCTTTGGAAAGCAAGCTTACCTTTAACACAAATTAAAAGCATCTAACCCAATAGCCACTTGTGTCTTGATTCCAGGGATATGTGCCCCAGTTGTCTTTTTTGTGGACTATGCTTCCAACTGCCTATACATGGAAGACATTGAAGGCTCAGTGACTGTTCGAGATTATATTCAGTCCACTATGGAGACGGAAAAGTCTCCCGAGAGTCTCTTCAGTTTAGCCAAGACAGTCGGGCAGGTTCTGGCTCGAATGCACGACGAGGACCTCATTCACGGTGATCTCACCACCTCGAACATGCTCCTGAAACCCCCTGTGGACCAGCTGCGCGTCGTGCTCATAGACTTCGGGCTGAGCTTCATCTCGGCACTGCCGGAAGATAAGGGGGTCGACCTCTACGTGCTGGAGAAGGCCTTCCTGAGCACCCATCCCCACACCGAGGCTGTGTTCGAAGCCTTTCTGCAGAGCTACTGCGCCGCCTCCAGAAAGGCCAGGCCGGTGCTGAAGAAGCTGGACGAAGTGCGCCTGAGAGGAAGAAAGCGGTCCATGGTTGGGTAGGGGAGTGTGTGTGACCGCTGCAGCCAGTTACGCTGTCTCCCTCCAAGTGAATCCGAAGGAATGCCACGAGGTTGAGATTAGACCTAAATAAAGCTGAGATATTTTTAAGTGCTGTCTGTGATCGCGCTTGTTAAGTGTCCTTATCTCTGCCGCTGACTGTTCTCAAGAGCTCACTGTGTACATGAGGCGTGTTCTAGGCAGAACTGGGTATTTAAAATACATCTCGCACCGGCGTATGCCTCAGGCGCATGGGCATGGCCTTACAAGACATCAAACCACGTAGTGAGGACAGTATTTTCTTCAGTCCGTCTGGTGAGATGAGGACAAAGTCTCAGTTGGTGACAGTATGTCTTTCTCAGCCCTCTGACCCAGCATTTTTTTGTTGTGTTCATGACATATTCCTCTTGAAATCAGTATAAGGGGGATACAACCAGCATTTTAAAAGTGAAATAGAGTCAGAAACTAGAAAATACCAGAATGCATTATATGTGATATTGTATTTTTTTATGAAACTTGTTTCAAATGTATGTATGCACAAGGGTATGTACTGCATTTTATGTAAAATATATTTCTTTTTGAGAGTAATGGTAAAAAAAGATGAAAAATGCTGCTCAACTCCAATTTCTCTCTTAAAAAAGCAGGCTCATAGCTTTCAGACAACTGAAATTTATGTAATTTTATACAATATTTTAATTTTTTTTGCTCTTTATTTTTATGGTTACTTTCTAATTAAGACAAGTGATTGATGTAAAGTTCCTTTTAGTTTATATCGGTAAAAAAGTGAGTCGATTTATATCACAGACAGTAAGTAGATTGAGCGAAAATGGTGAAGTGGCTTGGGAATGCCTGAAGGTTGATAAAGCCTAGTTTAAGAGAACTGCAGGAAAATCAAGTCAAGATGCAAAATACCACTAATTAGCTCACACTTAACCTTGCCCAGCCTCAGTTTCTTCCCCAGAGAAGGTTTGGCTATGTGGGGTGCTATGAGAAAATACCTTTCCTCCTTGTAAGCTCCAACTAGTAAGTACATATTTTGAGTGCCTTTTGTGCGCTTGGCACTGTATTGGGTACTGGGTGCACCGGTGAGCAAGACAGACGTGCCTGCTCTCATGGAGGGAACATGCTGGTGGGACTGGGACCATGTGTTTCGTTCACCACAGTCAGCGCCCTTCATGTGGCAGATGCCCAGGAATGGATGAACACTTCCCTTCCTCGGTAGGGGTGACTAGTAGAGAGAAGAACCAATATCGTTGCCTGGTCACTGCCTGTCGAGCATTGTGCCAGGAGTTTTCATATTGGATCTGAAGCAACGCTGAGTTAAGTATTGTCCCCATATTAGAGATGGAGAAACAGGTTCAAAGAGGGGAGAACTTGTTTAAGATGTCAGGTAGCAAGGGGTACTTTTACCTGGCCCCAAGCCCATATGCTTTCCACTGATCCTTTAGGAAATGAGATACTAGATGCAACATGTCTTTATATTATTATAATATATGTTGGCTTTATATTACATTGTTTTCTAAACTCCAAGGGCCACAGGAGCTGGCAATAACTTTTTCAATGAATATTCTCAACATGGTTGAGTGGGCTCCTTCCCCAGTGTTTTGGCTGTGCTGGCTTATCCGTAACCAATGTTGTGCTTGGACCTGCCTTGTGGTTCTTGTGTTTGCAAGAGGCCCTTCAGCAATAATCATCAGGAAACTTTGCAAAAATAATTACACAGTACGCTTGGGCCCACACAGCAAGGTCGGGGGTTGGAGACAGTGCGGGGGCTTGGGGTTCTGCTGTTATTGGGGTCGAGGGTTGGGGCCTAGGGTTTTGTAGCCTCACTCATTAGTGAATTTAAAACATGATGGGAATTTAAAGTGCAGGAAGAGAAAAAAACCAAGTGACTCAAATGTCAGTTATCAAAATCAGCCAACGGGGCTGGCCCAGTGGCTCAGTGGTTAAGTGTGCACATTCTGCTTTGGCGGCCTGGGTTCGCCGGTTCGGATGCTGGGTGTGGACATGGCACCGCTTGGCAAGCCATGCTGTGGTAGGCATCCCACATATAAAGTAGAGGAAGATGGGCACAGATGTTAGCTCAGGGCCAGGCTTCCTCAGAAAAAAAGAGGAGGATTGGCAGCAGATATCACCTCAGGGCTAATCTTCCTCAAAAAAAAAAAAAAAAAAAACAAGAAGAAAATCAGCCAAGATCTGCCACACAAAGGAGCCCTCAATGCGGAGAGGCCTGGCTCCTGTATCTGGTCAGGCGGCTCCTGTATCTGGTCGTGTGGTTGGCAGTGTGTTTATTTGAGATACTGTCTTCGAAATGGATGCCTCTTTGAAGTGGATGTTTGAGTAATCAAAGCTTAAGTCAGGTACTCACGTTACAAAAAAGAAAAACACGACACCCAGTTTCCTCATAGGCTAGTATCTACCTCATGGGGGCCTATGACTGGTTGACCCGCATGTGCAGGTGTTGTTAACAAATGCCTGGTGCTCACTTGTGCTGACGCTGGAGATAAAGAGAGGATGTGAAAGCTATCCTTACTCTCCTGGGAAACAAACTGAGTAAGAGTGTCAGACAGCCTTGAGTGCTGTGAAGGGTGCTGAGATCTGAGTGACCTCGAGGGGCGGTGGAAGCAGGGCTGATCAGGGGAGCCTCTGAGGAGGTGACGTTGGAACTAAGATGTGAAGGAGAACCAGGAGATGGGAGAGTACGTTCCAGGCAGAATGACCATCATGGACCAAGTTGGTGAAGGAGGAGCATCCTTGAGGGACAGCAAGGCCAGTGTGGCTGCCTTGCAGCAAGCAAGGAGGAGGAGCAGGAAATGAGATCAGAGAGGCTGGTAAGGGGCAGGTCAGGCAGCGCCTAGGAACAAGGTTGGGTTTTATTCTCAATGCTGCTCATAGGGTTTAAACAGGGAGACATCTGATTTATGTTTTGAAAGGATTACTAGATAGAGAACTTTCTAGGAAAAGGACTAAAGCAGCAAAGAGTGGAAGCAAGAAAGGAATGAGAAGGCTAGGTAACATGCCGGGCGGGTAAGGTTGGTGGCCTGGGGTGGGGGCCACGTGGAGGTGGCTGGCGAGCGTCCTGCAAACCACTGGGCACCCACTGGTTAGTGGGACATGGCGGCCAGTGGCAGTGGGGGTACCAGCATCAGTGGGGAAGCAAAAATGATCTCCTTTGCAAGCGTGGAGAGAGGGGGAGATACGGGGGACCGGAGAAACTTCATCAATTTGCCCAGGAGGAGTAGTGTCCCTCCGCCTACTCAGCCGGTTGCTGATGATGGGAAATAATGGATTTACCAACGTTCCTGGGGAGCAGTGGGTTCCTTCCCTAGTTCAGTGTCTCACAGGGTGCTGAGGAACCCTCTGCAATTCCAGATCCCTCAAAGTCCGCGTGGGGATAGCTGGTGGCACTAGCAGCTCTGTGTGAATTCCTCCCTGGACCTCCCAGACAGGGGTTATCACCCCATTTTACAGATGAGGGCCAGTCTTCCTTAGCAAAAAGAGGAGGATTGGCAGCAGATGTTAGCTCAGGGCTAATCTTCCTAAAAAAAAAAATAGGCAGGCAGCTTGTGGGCCATGTTTGCCAATCAGATTTTTAAAAATATTACCTTAAAATAGTTGTCTTGATTACTAGTTTTTAAGTGCCCCTTAAATCTAGTAAGGGCATAGTAAGAGCCCCACTTGCCTCACCCCACTGCTGGTGCCCTGCCTGTGAGAACCCACGTTCTTACAGGGGCCTGCCTCAGCTCTCTTTGGGAACTGGGTCCTGAATTCAGGGCACCGCAATGCCCTCTCCAGAGCCCAGAGGAGTAGCTCTCCTTTGCCACCAGAGGTCGCACGTTACTGTCGTTCTGGATGCAAAGAAGTGAAGCTTCTCTCCCCTTCTATCCTCCTGCACTTCCTTCGCTTCTTCCCCTTTCTCTTGTCCTCTGGCCCTCTTCTCTCTTCCTCCCCTCCCTCTCCCTCCTTCTTCCTCTCCTTCCCTCTTTTCTTCCTCCCTCCCTCCATTAAACTTGTTCGTGTATTCACTCAACACCGTAGCTGAGCGTCCCTGAGTGGCGGGCTCTGTGCTAGTCACTCAGGAAGTAGTGAGCAAGACAGCGTGGGGATGCCTAGTTCCCTCCTGTCTTGGTTTTGTCCTCCATGCTCTCACGTCTTCACTCAGTCACTCACCAGGTATTTATTGAGCACCTTGTGCCAGGCTCTGTGCCGGGTCCTGAAGAGGGTGCAGTGATGAGAAAGTCCAGCTACCACCCGGGAGCCCCCTCGCCTCTCCCAGCGCTGCTGCAATCTGTGGTGTCCCCACTGCCCCTGCTTCTGCCCTGGTCCCCACATCCTTCCTTCCTCAGCAGCCAGAGGCACGCTTTTAAAGCCAGATTGTGCCACTCTTCTATTCGGAAGGTTGATGGCTCCCCATCCCTTGTGTCTCCTTGCTTACCAGCTGCATGGCCTGGGACCCCCTCATTGCACCTCTCTGAGCCTCAGTGTCCTCATCTGGAAAATGAACTGACCATGGGGCCTACCTCGCAGAGCTGCTGTGAGCACCGCCATGGGTCAGAATCCCCAGGAAGCAGACTCTGAGATGCAGCTTAGCATTAGGGTGTTTACTCAGACATGCCCTTGGGGTCAGCCTCCACGGAAGGGAAGAGGGCAAAGCAGGGGATGGCAGAGGGAGAAATGGGGCTGAGAGGCAGACCGACAGTAGCCTCAGCTGACCCTACGGGGAGCTCTGCAGCTAGAACGGCCCTGCAGAGATGCCCCGAGTTGGACCCAGATGGCCAGGCCCTCATAATTCCACTTCACGCAGTCTTTGGCGGGCTACCCCTGGAAGGGCATGAGCTCGGGTGAGGCCACCCTCTGCCTCTGACACTGTCCCTGAAGCAGTGACAGCTGGAGGCCGCCTGCTGACCACAATCCCTCCATCTGGGGCGATCAGTCCTTCCTTGAAGGGGATCTGGGTCACATCAGTGCCCACCACAAGCATCAATGAAATGAGCGTTACCACAGTGCCGGGCACATCCTAACAAGTAGCTGCTACTGTTATGTGATTTATATTGCTACTATTTTTAGAGACCAGTGAACAGGCAATTATCATACAGCCTCATGTGCTCCATTTATAAGTTAAGGGCACACAGGTGCACTTTCCCACATTGCTGGTTCCCACGAGTTCCCCGCTGATGCTGAGGCTGCTGTTCGGAGAACCGCTGCCTTAAAGATCAGAGTGTCTCATGAGAAGAACAAGAAACAGATGCTGGGAGGGCAGAAAGAAGAGCTATTCTCTAGGCTCATTTTATAGATGAGGAAGCTGAGGCTCAGAGATGCGGCACAGCTTGCCGAGAGTCATCAGCCAGCAAATGGTACCGATTGGTCCAGACATTTCTGTTGTCTACCAAAGCCACCGCCTTTATTCTTTTTGGACAGAGCCTCGATTTGTCCGGGTATTGATTAGGTGAAGATGGCCTCATCTCAGGGAAGGTCAGACTGCTCCCTGATACAGGCGTGTGCATGTGACTCTTTCCTCGCCAATAAAACACAAAAGCAAATCTGCCAAAGTTGCTTCTGGGAAGATTTTGCTTCTTATAGAAAGCGAGTGGGGTGTGAGAATCTCTCCATGCCCTGACTCCAACTCCCCATCAACAATTACTGCCTTTAAATGCAATGGTGAGAACTGGAGTTTCAGCAGCCATCTTGAGACCACGAGGCCACCCCTGAAGCTAAAGCGTCAATGAGAGGGAGACGGTGGAGTAGAGAGATGGGCAGACTAGGAGACCGTCCTCAATGACGTCAGACCTCAACCTCTTTGCCCTGACTTATTACTTGCATAACTAAACATCTTTAAAGCTGAAGCCGCTGTTGATCAAGTTTTCTATCATTTGAAGCCAAAAACATTCCCAACCAAAACAGATACAGATCCTAGCCCCAAAAGCCATGCCTTTTCCACGGCATCTCGCTGCCTTTCTGGGGCAGGTTGGGGCACATTGGGCAACACCGGACTCTCTGTTTAGATCAGAGTGCAGGAGCAGTGACAGGCCGACTCCTTTTCTCCAGGGCCCACAAGAGGCAGGAACCCTGGCTGAGATTCCGCCTACTCGAGGCCCGGCCAATCGCTGCCACCAACTTCCTCTGTGAGTTTGGGGAAAATCCCAGACTTCTCTGGGTCTCAATCTGAAGGATTTGATCTGGATCAGACTGGTTGCTGTACCTGTAGACATTTTTGTTGGGTCCGTATAGTGTTTGTGTTTCGGTTTCCAGTGTTAAATGATTTGGATGGTTTCATATAAAAATCCCGATACCTGACTTCTCTGGAAACATCGTCAGATCTGGCCACCCTGGACCCCCCTTACAGCACTCTCCTTGCAGAGGCGGGCTCGTGCTCACCCTTCACCCCGATCCTCACCCGTCCTTATTGCCTCTCGACTCTGAGGCTGGCTGCCAGTTGTTCTTCTCATAGAGTGAAGAGGAGAGTGAAATAGCTCTTCCTCCCAGACCCCTTCACCCTCCTGCTGCTTGTCCCTGTAGGCATTTGAATTCGCAACCCCCAGATGAGATGCTCTGTGTCGTCTCCAGGGGTCACACAGGCATCTCAAAACTCAACATGTCCGAAAACAGACTCCTGCTTCCACCCCTTGGGCTCTGCTCCCACCGGCCCTTCCATCATAGTAAATGACAGCTCTGCAAATCCAGCACTTCAGCCCCAAACCTGGGAGCTCCCCTCGACTCCCCTCTCTCACCGCACCCCCACCTCACCCAGCAGCAAATCCTGTTAGGCTTACTTTCAAGATATAATCAGGAAGTTAGGAGAGTGGCTACCCTTGGGGAGGGGGCATGGCTTGGAAGGGGCTTCTGCAGGCTCCTGGGAGGATGGGTAAGACCTATTTCTTGAGCTCGTGGCTGGTTACATGGGTGGATTTGGTTGTAAAACTTCCTCGAACTGCGTGCACACTATGCTATGTGTACTTTTCTGTATGTCTGTTAGACTCCAATAAAAACTTAGGAATATAGAATTAGAACTTTCACTCTGTACCCCTCACAGGCACCGCTCTGGCTTAGACCACGTGATCTTTTGCCTGAACCATTCCAGCTGCCTCCTTGCTGGCTGCCCTGCTCGTCTCCCCGCTTCTGCCCTCGCTCCCCATAGCTTGTTTCCCACACAGCAGCCTGGGGAATCCTCTTTAATCTCAATGCAGGTCATATCATTTCTCTGTTCAGAACATTCCAGTGTTTCCACCTCACTAAGGGCCAATAGACCCATCTGCTTCCAGCCCAACACTGACCTTTCTGACCCCCTCTTCTCCCTCGGGGTCAGCCATACTCTTCTGCCAAAGTCAGTCATGCTCCTATCTCATGGCCTTTGTACTTGCTGTTCCCTTTGTAACACTGTTCCCTACAGATCTTCACCTGGCTGCCTCCCTCACTCCCTTCCGGCCTCTGCCAAACACCATGTGTCTTCCATGCGCATCCTGTGTAAAAGGTAGCACCCCATCCCCAGCCCTCCCGATCTGCCTCCGCAGCTTTATCTCTGTCCCATTCACCAGCACCTGCTGCCTTTTATTATTCACTGGCTCATTTGCTTCCTGTCTGCTCCATGGGCGGGGGCCTGCGTTTGCTCCACCACTCCAGCCTGGTTTCCAGAATGGTACCTGGAACGTAGTGGGTGCTTGTAAATACCTACGGAATTGAATAGAATTCCCTTGTACAAGCCCAGCCTGTCTGTTGGAAAGAAAATTAAGGAGCCACCCCCTACCCCAAAGGCACACCCCCCTCACCCTCCTATTCCTTCCTCCCTCTACCCCAGACACACACGCACACACCCTCTCTCTCTCTCTCTCTCTTTCTCTCCACCTACCCACAGTCTTCTCTGCTGGAGGCAAAGTGCAGTATGGTCCTGGCCTGCATTTTGGAACAAAAAACAGTCAGAACCCTGGGGGTTTAGTGCGGATCAAAGGCCTCTTCATGTTTGTAAACCTTCGCTCGCTGCCCGGAATGGAGGGGGTTTGGGGGGGACCAGAAGCCAGAGTTGGTCACAGCTCCGGGCCAGGGGAGTCCAGGGCCTGCCCGCTTCCCCACAGTGAGGAAAGGCCCTGCACGGCCAAGCTGCTTGACCCCCTAACCCCAGGGCATCTAAAGGGGTGACTAATCCCAACCCCAGCCTGAGGCCCACCTGCTGGGCCCTGCTTCAAAGCCAATATTTCTCTTGGAGCTGCAGAGGCCTTGACCAAAATGTCACACTGAAAGATGCTGACGGTGGTGCAGGCCTCAGCGAGGGCAGCGGGGGAGGCGCCGAGTCCCTTCTGCGGAGAGGAAGGTGAAACTGGTGCGATACTGCCCGCATACTCTCGCCCCCTCCCAGCTTTATCTTTCTTCATAGCGCGAAGCACCATGGGATATGCTATGTATTTCACTCATTTATCTTATTACAGAGCCACTAACGTGAAAGCTCCGTGAGAGCAGAGACTCTTGTCTTATTGGATCAGTGCCGTAGCCCCAGCACCCGAATGATGCTTGGTGCATGGTAGGTGCTCAATTAATATTTGTCAAATGAAGGCTATGCATGACTTTGATTGATGTTCCAAATAATAAGACACAATGCCTTAAAGCACGTTCAGTTATTCAGTATTTATCGGACCTCTGTTCTAGGCGCTGGGGGTGTGGCAGGAAACACTTTGGACTCCTGTTCTCATGGACTTTACTCTAGTGGGGAGCAATTTCACATGAGGAATCACATTGTGAAGGAAATAACTCGGGGGTTTTACCCACAGCAGGTGGTGTGGGGTTGGGGAAGGCTGGATTCACTAGGTTAGGTGGTCACGGAGGCCCCTCTGGGGGTGACGTTTGAGTTGAGACTGAGCGGGGAGAAGGAGCCAGCCGCTGCGCTGTGATGGCAGGGAGGGCAGGGGAAGGGAGGTGCCGGCAGAGGGAGCAGTCAATGCAAAGACCTTGGTGTGTTCAAGGAGCAGAAGGAAGGGTGCAAAGACGGTGGCACACAGTGATTGAGGGGAAGGCTGGGAGGACATGGGGTGGAAGAACGAGGCTGGACCCGGTCATTCTTGTCACTGCCCAGCACAGACCTTGGCACATAGCAGGCCCTTAATCACCGGGCTGGTGACTATAATCAATATCTGCGCACACTTTCTTAAGTTGTTATTTGCCTGTTAAAAATTGGGTGGAGAGTAGTGGTGTGTATCACTGGAATTTCAGCGCTCTCATGCACTAGCTGTGTGGCCTTGGACAAGTCTCTAAATCTCTCTGAGCCTCATTTTGCTCATCTGTCCTATGGGCATACCTAGTAGGGAATGAAAGTAAACGGTAGTCAAACCATCCACTACATGTGGAGGCTCTTTAAGAATCCCCTCCACACTCCACTTCCTTTTCAGTGTAAAGGGGGAGGAACCAAAGAAAGGGAGTTAGCAGGTCTGGCCTTGGCGCCACCTTTCCTCCTGTAGGGTGCCAAGGTCCAAGTCGTCGGGCCAGGGCCCTCATGTCCGGAGGACTCTCCTTCCTAGAAGAAGCTCTGCTCCAGGGGAGAGAAGTAATCGTGGTAGTAATGGTTATCTCTTGCTGTGTAACAAATTGCTCCACAAAGTAAAGGTGTAGAACAACCATTTATTATGCTCGTGGATTATGTGGGCCAGAAATTTGGACAGGCTGGCACGGGATGTTTTCTCTCTGTTCCTCCAGGTCTGTGGCCTCATAGGCTAGGAGGCCCCTCATAGGCTAGGACTCATAGGCTAGGGCCTGGGTCACCTGAAGGCCCATTCACTCACTGCCGGGTTGTGGCTGCTGGCTGCTCCTTGGGAGCCTTGCTTTCTCTCTGTGTGGTTTTTCTGCCTGGTTTAGTTTGAACTTCAAATATGGTGAATGGCTTTCGAGGGTGAGAGTCCCAAGAGTGAGGGAACCAGGCAGAAGCTGTGCCCTCTGTGTGACTCAGCCTGGGAAATCTCATAGCATCCATTCTGCCGTGTCTGTTGGTTGGCACAGTACAAGTCCCCACCCACTCTGAAGAGGTGGGATCATAGACCCCCAACCCTTGGTGGGAAGAGCGTTAACCACATTGTAAGAAAAGCATATGGGGTGCACATTTAGGATGGAAGCTATAAATTGATGCTCTCCTTGGAAAATACAATCTGCCACAAGCAGAACAGTGGTTCTTGTCAATTGTTAAACACTCACCGTGTGCAAGTACTGTGCCACACCCCAGCATATTAGTTCTCCCAGCATCCCTGTGGGTTACATCCTATCCTTGTCCACATTTCAGATAAGGAAACTGAGGCCCAGTGGAGTTAAACCTCTTGCCTAGGGCTGCACAACAAGCAAGTGGCTCAGCCAGAATTTGAATGTAGCTTTGTCTAATGCGGGGTGACAGACTCAAAGAGGTAATGCAAATTTATTATTGTAAGGATTAAATGAGTTAATACATGTAAGGTGTGGAAACAGTAAGGTGTGGATACAGCACATAGTAAGTGCAGTATCTGTGCTTGCTGTTATTAGTAATAATAATACTATTATTGTTACATTTGAACCACTGGATTGAAACCTCTGCTCTTATACTAAGTATTGTACTCAATCTCTTAGCTGGTTCCAGAACAAGGGAGCCAGTCCAGGGGTGCTGAGTGCAATATACCCTGGTCCCAACTGCCTCCACTTGGGCTTTGGGGACAGACCTGAGTTTCTATGACATTGGCTGCAAACCCCCAGGGAGAGTCTGTCCTGTCTGGAGAGGCCCATCCTCCCCCACCTAGGCCGCGAATGTCCCCAGTGCTCGCTGCAGGGCTTCACCCTCCATGCAGAGTTGGCTGACGCTAACCTGGCTGGAGCCTTTGATGAAGCCGGGTGCTGGGCTGGCTCAAGGTCAGGTCCGCAAACTGAAAGGACAGGAGAGAAAGTTTCGTCACAGCCTGCAAAGGGTCCTTTGGGAAATAACTCGCCCTAACGCTTTACAGGAACCATGGCAGCATGACCTGCGTAGGAAGTGAGCCCTGCGGCCCTCTCTGCGCTCTTCTCTTGCTGTCTCACATCTCCCCAAATTTCAGATCTTTGCATCCAACTTTTGGAACTTTGCCATAACTGTGCACTCTCTGCGTTCTGAGTTACTTGCTACTTTTCTTTGAGTTGCTTCACATTTGTGAACTTAAGTGGATTTAAACGGAGGATTTTAAAAATATCACAGGCTTTAATAAACCACAAAAATCACTTTTTCTAAGTTAAAAGTAATTGGAAGAATAAATAAAATAAAAACAAATCAGTGTTGTTCAACGGCAGCAAGATGCCAAAGTCTCCGGCCCCAAAGCCTTCTCTGGCTCTCAGAGAACCATCTCTGACCACCTGCGCCACTCCTCTTCTGCTTCAAACCACTGTCCTTCCAGCCCGAGGGAGCTTTCCAATGACAAGCATGCCTACTAGAATGGCCATAGTGAAAACACAGTTACTCATAAGCGTTGGTGGGGATGTGGAGAAATGAGAACCCTCACACGCTGCGGGTGGGATTGTAAAATGGTGTGGACACTCTGGAAAACAGTCTGGCAGTGCTTCCAAAGGTAAACGTAGAGTTACCATGTGACGCAGCCATTCCAGTCCTAGGGGTGTACCCAAGACAACTGAACACGTGTCCACTCAAAAACGTATGCAGCAATGTTCACAGCAGCATTATTCATAATAGCCAAAACGTAGAGACCACTTTAATGTCTATCAACTGATGAATGGATAAGTAAAACGGAACATCATTTGCCCATAAAAAGGTACAAAACACTCATATATGCGACAAATGGGTGAACCTTGAAAACATCATGCTAAGAAAAAGACTCCAGACACAAAGGACCACAAATTGCTTGATTCTACTTAGATGACATGTCCAAAATAGCAAGTCTACACAGGCAAAAAGTAGACTCATGGTTATCTGGGGTTATCTGGGAGGCTGAGGGAAGACTGGGAGTGACTGTTGACAGGGATGGGGGTTCTTTTTGGGGTGATAGGAAATTTCTAAAATTGATTGTAGCAGTGACTGCACAACTTTGTGGGTATACTAAAACCCACTGAACCGCACACTGCAAAGGGCTGAACTGTATGCTGTGTGAATTATATCCAAATCGTCCATTATTAAAATAATGAAAGCAGAATACGTCACTCTGCTTAAGTCCCTGCAGTGGCCACCCTTGTCATTCAGCATAGAGCACAAAGTCCCTACTCAGGCTTTCAGGAGCCTGTGGCTGCCCTTCTGATCACATCTCTGCAGCCCAGTTCCTTGATGACTCTAAGCCATGTCGTTGGCTTCTGCCTTGGAGCCGTTGGACTTGGCTTTTCCTTCTTCCCGGAATGCTGCCCTCACATACACAGAGGGCCTACTCACTCACTTTCCTTAGATCTCGGCATACCTTAGGGTCCTTGGTCACCTAGTCATCAAGGGCTCCCTGACCCCCTTACCTAAAATGGTACCCCCACCCCATCACTCTCTATTTCCCTTTCCTGCTCCATTCTTCTCCAAGCACTGGTTATCTTCTCATCTTTTGACCACAATGCATTTTACTCATTTGTTTGTTTATTATTTGTGTCCTCCAACTCCACCCCCAACCAAATGTAAGTTCCACGGAGGCAGAGACTTTAATTTTTTTGGTCTTATTTGTAATTGTATTCACAGCCTGGTATATAATTGCCATGCAGTCAATATTTATTGAATAAAAGGAATGATGAAAAGTGCGTATGATTAATCTCAAGTTTACAGATGAGGAGAACCAAGCCTGGCATTCACATGTTAAGTTAGTAAACACTGACAGGGCATCCACCACAGACCATGCCCAGGCCCTGGGGATATTAGGTGGCGAAATTCTGTAGAACTCTGTAGGACCATGAGGACCGGGTTGAAGTCTCTAGATGTGATGTGATAGAAGCCAGTTCAGATTTTGCATCAGGGAAATTATTCCACCAGAATCTGACAAGAGATGGATTAGATCTTAGGGGTGTGGGGAGCTGGAAAGCAGTGGGGTTGTTCAGACAGTGCTTCTCAACCGCAGCTGCATGTTTGGGAGCTCTTGAAAATCCTGATGCCCAGGCCACATCACAGACAACTAAATCAGACTCTCTGAGGGTGGAGCCTGGGCGTCCGCATTTCTACAGCTTCCCAGGTGATTCCAATGTGCAGCCAGGGCCGAGAACCACGGTGTTAGAGGGTTACAGGAGGGCAGGTGGCCCTTGTTATCTGAGGGTAATGAGCATTGGGAAATCACCTCTTGAGTGAATACACTCCAACTGTTGACAATTCCTGTAATGTTTGAGAGGGTCTGGTCCTGGAGACTCCCTGCTATTTTACTTTGTTTAAGGCTCTGTGGTAAAGTCATATTTCCATATCTAATGAACACAAACTATAATAAAACATACACTGTGAGCCATTACCCTGCAGTGGTTAGGCATGTGGGGTCTGGAGCTATACTACTGGGATCTGAATCCCACCTTAATAGCTGTGTGTCCTTGGATAAGTTACTCAAGCTCTCTGTACATTCTTTGCAAAATGGGAGTATATTAGGACCTACCTCCCGGGGTCATTTAAATGTTCAATGAGTTCACATAAAGCTCTTAGGACAGAGCCTGGCACAGAGCAAGCACTCCGTGAAGGCTGGCTATTATTATTCATTAATAAATAAGATGGAAAACCAACATTCCTTGAACATTTGACATAGATCACAAAATTGATTAAATTTCTTTGAACAATATAACCTGCAATTATCAAGTTTAGTAAAGCTGATTCTTTTGAATGGTTCAAGCATATTAAACAGCAGATCAAATATACACAAATTCATTGTGGATGGAACTTTGCAATACTCTTACACCAAGATCGGTTACAAGAGTGCTGACCTCATGGAAGTTACTTTATTTCTTATTCATAGTTTTAGCAAATCATACTTTTAAACAATTCATAGATAGGACAAGAGAAATCACATAGTCTGAGCACCAGAGATAAAACAGACTGAAAAAATGAACAGAGCCTTGGGGATCTGTGGGGTTATAACAAATGGTCTAACTTTTGTGTCATTGGAGTTCTGAAAAGAGAGGAAAAAGAGGACAGGGCATAAAAGTATTAAAAGAAATAATGGCTGAAAATTTCTCAAATTTGGCAAAAGAAAAAACCTTCACACTCAAGAAGCTGAGTGAACTTTAAACAGGATAACTAAAAGAAATCCACCCCAAGATATATCATAGTCCAACTTCTGAAAACTAAAGGCAAAGAAAAACACCTTGAAAGCAGTGAGACAGAAATGATGCTTTACCTCTAGAGGGAAAACAATCCAGATGACGGTCCATTTCTCACCAGAATCCATCAAGTCCAGAAAGAAATGGCATAAGACTTTTCAAATGCTGAAAGAGAAGGACCCTATATCTAGTGAAAATATCCTTTAGGAATAAAGGGGAAATCAAGACCTTCTCAGATGAAGGCAAATTAAGAGAATTTGTTGTCAGGGGACGTACTCCAAAAGAATGACTAAAGGAGTTTCTCTAAACAGAAAGGAAACAATAAACAAATGACTATAGGATCATCAGGAAGGTAGAAAGAACATAGGAAACAAAAATATAAGTAAATGCAATAAGCTCTTTTTTCTCTTGGGTTTTCTAAACTATGTTTAATGATTGAAGCAAAAATTATAACACTGATGTGGTTCTGAATGTATGAGGAGAAAATATAAGATAATAATATAACGGGTTAAGTTAAAGGGATCCAAAGGGAGGTAAGGTGTCTACACTTCACTGGAATTGGTACCAGTAGACTGTGATAAGTTATGCACACACCGTGTAAGACCCAGAGCAAGCACTAAAAAACCCATACAAAGAAATGCACTCAAAATCACTATATAAAAATCAAAGTGGAATTTGAAAAAATGTCCAAGTAACCCACAGGAAGGCAGGAAAAAGAAAATAGAGAAATAGAGAGAGATAGAGAGAGAAGATATGGAGAACAGAACGGCAGATTTAAGCCCTGACACATCAACAATTACATTAAATGTAAACGGTCTAAAAACACTAATTAAAAGATAGAGCTTGGCTGAGTAGATTTAAAAGCATGACCCAACTATATGCTGTCTGCAAGAAACTCACTTCAAATATAATGATATATGCATGTTGAAAATGAAAGGACGGAAAAAGATATATCAGACAAATGTTAATCAAAAGAAAGCAGAAGTGTCTGTATTAATGTCAAATAAGGTAGACTTTGGAGCAAAGAAAGTTACCAGAGACAGAGAGAAACATTCTATAACAATAAGGAAGTCAATCTACCAAAAGATTTAGCGGCCTTAAATGTGTATACACCAAACAACAGAACTGCAAAATACAGGAAGCAAAAACTGATAGAGTTGAAAGGAGAAATACACAAAGGTACAATTACAGTTTGAGACTTAAATGCCCCAATAATTGATAGAACAACAAGACAGAATCAGCAAGGATATAGAAGAACTCAAAACTACCATCAAACAACAGAATCTGGTTGACACTGAGAGAACAGTCCACCCAGCAACAGTGAATACACATTCTTTCGAGTGACCGTGAAACGTACAGCAGGCTAGTTATGCTGAGCCACAATACAAACCTCAACAAAGTTAAAAGAATTGCAGTCTTACAGGGTGATGGTTCTTTGACCACAATGGAATCAAATTATAAACCAATAACAGAAAGATAATAGGAAAATCTCCAAACACTTAGAAACTTAAACAACTCACTTCTAAATAAACCATGGGTCAAAGAAGAAGTATCGAGGGAAAATAAAAAATACATTGAACTGAATAATAATGAAAATACAACATGTAAAATTTGTGGGACACCACTAAACCAGTGTAGAAAGGTGAATTTTTATTATTAAATGCATACATTAGAAAAGAGGAAAAATCACAAATCAATAATCTAAACTCCCACCTCAATATCCTAGAAAAAGAAGAGTGAACAGAAGGATGGAAAAAAGAAAGATAAGACCAGAAATCAGTGAAATTAAAAATAAAAAAAAAAAAAACTTCTAAAAGTTGGCTCTTTGAAAAGAGAATTAAATTGAAAAATCTCTAGTAAGATTGACAAAGAGAGGTGTAAGTTAAATGAATGAATCAGGAATGAATGAATGAATAAATCAGGGCTATCACTTTAGAACCTGTAGACATCAAAAGGGAATACAACAAACTCTACACACCGAAATTTGACAACTTAGATGAATGGACCAACTCCTCAAAAACACAAATTACCACAGTGCATCCAATATGGAACAGATAATTCAAATAGCCCTATAACTATTAAGGAAATTGAATTAAAAACCTTCCAAAAAAGAAATCTCCAGGCCTAGATGGTTTCCCTGGGGAATTCTAATAAATACTTAAACAGGAATTAACACCAATTCCATACAATCTCTTCTAGAAAAAGGAGGAGAAGGGAATAATTCCCAATTCATATTATGAGGCTAGTATTATCCAGATACCCAAACCAGACAAGCACAATAAAAAAGGGAAAACTACAGACAATATCTCTCATGATTACAGATGTAAAATATTAGCAAATAGACTTCAATAAAATATAAAAATAATTATACGTCATGACTAATTGGTATTTTCCCCAGGGATACAAGGCTGGTTCAATATTTGAAAACCAATAAATGCAATTCATCATATTAATAAGCTAAAGAAGAAAAATCACTTGATCATATCAATTGATGACAAAAGAAAAAGCATTTGATAAAATTCAACACCCATTCATGATAAAAACTCTCAGAAAAATGGGAATAGATGAAAACTTTCTCAATTTGATAAGGAGCAGTTAGGAAACATCTACAGCTAACATTATACTTAATGGTGAAAGACTGACTGCTTTCTCCCTAAGATTGTGAACCATGCAAGAATGTCCATTCTCACACTCTTACTCAACCATAGGGCTTGAAGTTCTAGCCAGTGCAATAAAGCAAGAAAAGTAAATAAAACATGCAGATCAGAAAGGAAGAAATAAAACTGTCCTTATTTGCAGACAACATGATTATCTACATGGAAAGTCCCAAATCTGAGGAAAAAACTCCTAGAAGTAATAAATAAATTGAGCAAAGTTGCAGGATACAAGATAAACATACAAAATTCGGTTTTATTTCTATATACTAGCAGTGGATATATGGGCACTGAGAAAATAAATACCATGTACATTGCTCAAAAAATGTAATACTTATGTGTAAATCTAACAAAACATGCATGGGACATTTAGGCTGAAAAATACAAAATACTGACCAAAGAAATCAAAGAAGATCTACATAATTGAGACACATGCCATGTTCACGGATTGGAGGACTCACCACAGCAAAGATGTCAGTGCTTCTCAAATTGATATACACATTTACTGCAATTCCCACCAATATCCCAGCAAGAATTTTTGTAGATATAGACAAGATTATTCTAAAAATTTACATGGACATGCAAAGGAACTAGAATAGCAAAAACAATTTTGAAAAGAATAAAGCGGGAGGAATCAGTCTCCCCAATTTCAAGACATTCTATAGTTAACAGTCATCAAGACTGTGTGGCATTGCTAGAGGGATAGACAGTTCTATCAATGGAACAAAATAGAGACTCCAGAAATAGAGCAATCAAATATGCCCAACTGATTTTTTCTTCTTTTCTGAGGAAGATTTTCTGAGCTAACATCTGTTGCCAATCTTCCTCTTTTTTTTTGTGCTTGAGGAAGATAAGTCCTGAACTAACATCTGTGCCAATCTTCCTCTACTTTGTCTCTGGGTTTCCACCATAGCATGGCTGACAAGGGGTGTAGGTCTGGCCGGGACCCCAACTGTGAACCCCAGCCCCAAGTGGAGTACGCGAGCTTAAACACTGCTCCATGGGGCACCCCCAAATTGATTTTTGATAAAAGTGCAAAAGCCATTCAATGAAATAAAGATAATTTTTAAACAAATGATGCTTCAGCAATTGGTCAGTGATAGAAAAAAAAAAAAACCTTACCCCAAGTCTCACACTTTATATAAAAATTAACTCATGAACTTAAATATAAAACATAAAACTGTAAACTATCAAAATTCTCGTGTAAAAAATATGAGAAAATCTTCAGGATCTAGGGCTATACAAAGAGTTTGCCACAACGTATGATCCAAAAAAAGGAAAAATTGATAAATTTGATTCCACCCAAATTATAAATGTTTGCTCTGTGAAAGGCTCTGTGAAGAGGATGAAAAGACAAGCGATAGACTGGGAGAAAGTATTTGCAAACAACATACCTGACAAAGGACGGCTATCTGTCCTCTGTAAAGTACTCTCAAAACTCAACAGCAGAAAACAGTCCAAGCAGGAAATTGGCAAACGATAGGAAGAGACAGTTCACCAAAGAGGGTATACAGATGGCAGATAAGCACGTGAAAAGATGTTAAACATCATTAGCCATTAGGAAAATATAAATTAAAACGACAATGAGGTATCTCTACACCCTTATCAGAACGGCTAAAATAAAAAATAGTGCCAACGTCAAATGCTGGCAAGAATGTGGAAAATGAAATCAGTCATACGTTGTTAATAGAAATGTAAAATGGTGCAAACACTTTGGAAAACAGTTTGGCAGTTTCTTAGAAAACTAAGGATGCAACCACCAGACAACCCGGCAATTGCACTCCCGTGCATTCATCCCAGAGGAACGAAAAGGCCCTGCAGGCTCCGTCCGACCTGCAGGTGACCGGGCGTCTCTGGGAGAAAATGAGAATAACAGTATCTGCAAGAACAATTCCGGCTGAGCGCATGCTCTGCGCCAGGTACTGTGCTAAGCACGTTAGGTGCATCATCTCAGTTAAACTTCCCAGCGGACCTCTTGTCTGGTGCAGACCATCGCTGTCATCGCCCCCACTGCCTGGACGAGTAAACTGAGGCTCAGAGGCCGCCGCTCAAGGCAGAGTCAGCATCTGAGTCCAGGTCACACTGGCAGCGCTTGAGTCCCCACGTTGTCACGGGCGAGTAAACCGCGGCGCGGAAAGGTTAAGCCAGCGCCCCGCCGCGGAGCTGGGCCGCCGCGGGTTTGAGCCCGGGGCCCCGCCGCCCTCGGGGCTGGAGTCCGCTTCCCGAGTCCTCGCGCCCAACTTTCCCGGACGTCCCCGGCCCCTTCCACCGGCCCGAGCAGGCGCCACCCGCGTCCTCCGGCGGGAGCGGGCGGAGGGCGGGCCCCGCCGCGTCCCCTCCCCCGGCCGCCGGGCTTTAAGCGGGCGCGGGCCGGGCGCGGGCAGTCCGGGCGGCGCGCTCGCTCCGCTGCGCTCCGGCCACGATCGCGCAGATGGCGGCGCTGGCGGCGCTGGCCAAGAAGGTGTGGAGCGCGCGGCGGCTGCTCGTGCTGCTCTTCGCGCCGCTCGCGCTGCTGCCGGTGGTCTTCGCCCTCCCGCCCAAGGTAACGCGTCCGCTGCCTGCGCCCCCGGGCCCCCCGGGTCCCCCGGGGGCCGCGCCTCGCAGCACCCTCTGCTCCCCAGCCGCTGGCGTCCCAGGCTAGACCGCTTCGCCAGACCCCTTTGGCCCTCTCCCCTTTACCCTGCCGTGGGCCGCTGTGAACCCCCCCAAGCAGTGTCCCCCTGTCCCAGCTGTTCTTGGAGCCCGGGTCCCACCCGGCCGTCTGGATCTTCTCACTTCTACAGGACTGATTCCTCTTTGTTGAGCTCCAACTATGTGCTGGGCGCTGTGTTGCACATTTCACTTGATAATCACAAGGAACGCTAAATGAATGCCAAGCCGTGTGACTTGGGGCAAGTCACTTAACCTCTCTGAACTTCAGTTTATGCCTATGTAAAAATGGGGGAAGTGATAGTGCCAATCCATATCCATCCGGGGTTGTGAACGTTAAATGAGGCAATATATGTCAATCTCTTAGAACTGAGCTTGGTACACAGTAAGTGCCCAGTAATGCACTGGCTGGTCTTATTCCAGGCGTCTTACATGATGGGGACAGCCAAGATTTAATCAATGCTTACCTGGAGCAAGGTGCAGTGCTGAGCTTTGCCTTACAGTGCATCATGTCATTCAACCTCTCAGTGCCCCTCACAGGGCAGAATTATTTCCCCCATTTCTGGCAGAAGAGAAGTGAGGATCAGAGAGATCAACTGACTTGCTCAGAATCACACAGCAAGCAACTGAGTGGGGATTCAGTCCTGGACTGTCAGACTCCAGAACCCGAGCTGTTTCTAGACTCTGAAAGAAAGTAGTCCATAGAAGATCAAAGGCTGCGGACTGAGTCCTGCGTGTCATGACAAAAATCAATACCAGTGGGGGCTGGAAGAAGATGGGACCCCGGGTTCCTGTTGGGTCCCCAACCTGTGCCCAGCCCATCCAGGGCATAATGGGAAGGCACTAGGTTCGTACTAGGTTCGTAAGACAAGGCTGCTACCTGCAGGAAGTTGCTTTACGATCCCTTAATGAGACATTAGATGTTGATAAAAATAAAAGTAAGGAGAGGGTGTACTTTAGTGCTGTATTACCCAGACTCCATCAGCGGAGACCAGGGGAGCCGTGAAAGGTGTTCAGAGAGGGCTGCCTGGAGGAAGGGGCCCTCCTTGGGCGCCGGGAGTGAGGAGGTGATACCAGGTGCTGCCAAGGAGATCCAGGGCTAATGCACCGCAAGTTCTTTAGTGTGGAACTATCCAAGCTGTTAGGCTTTCCTGACCTGGCAGGGAAAAACGATAAACGCCAGCATCAGGAGTAGGTCACTTTTTCCAAAACCAGCTCATCCGGGGCGACTTGCTGACCTCAGGACCTCGGACAAACCTTTCTTCTTTGGGTTTCGCTGTCTTTGTCTGTCACATGGGGCGATTGCCATGCTAGCCCCCAGAATCGCTGTGAGGGTTGAGCGAGGAAGTCACCTGGCTTTGTGAGGCATCGTTGGTGGAAGGACGGATGGTCTGCGAGGTCCCAGGTGGAGCTCTGGGGACAAAGAGATGAAACACACAGGCCTCCGTCTCCGCGGCAGGGGCTTCTGAAAGCTTCCCTCTGCTCTGCCCTCTAGCAGGAGCTGGGAACCCGGGGCCGATCCCAGTGTGACGGGGCCAGAGCGTACAGCATTTGAGGGGCTCTCTTTAGGAAAAAGCGTGCAGCTTTGCAATGCGAAATTCACTACAGGGCTTGGCAGGGCCTCGGGGCTTAAGCTTCATCAGCTTCGCAGTGAATCTGCTTCCGGGTGAACCCTGACGCGCACAGATGATGGGGAGTGACTGTAGCCCCTGCTGCGGCGGTCACCCTCCTAAGTAAGGTGTTCCATTGAATGCTCAAGTCATACTATGTGCCAGGCACCATGCGAAGGGCTTCTCAGGCCTTGTCCCATATGATGTCCACATAACCAGGGAGGCAGCTGCTATCAGCATCCCTATTGAACAAGTGGCGAAATGGAAGTTCAGCAAGGGTAGGTGACTTGCCCAAGGTCACACAGCCTGTACAAGCTGGAATGCGGTCTGTACTCCTAACCGCTGTGCTGAGCATCCTTTCCTTACTCATAATTCAGTTAGAACCTCTCCTGGTCCCCTATGGTTCCCTGGTGGGAGCTTTTGTGTGACCCTTAATGTCACTACCTCTTTAAGTGGCTCATAAACCAGGGCCTGCTCCCAGGAGGCAGGTCTGGCTTCTTGGGAGACCTTAGCCTCCCCCAAAATCTGTATCAGCATATGCAAAGCCCCCTCCCCCATATAATAATATATAGAGAAAATTATCATCATTATATTCTTGGATTTGCATAATGACATGTTTCTCAATCTAATGTACAAGGTCAATAAAAGTATCCTTAGAGAACACTGAACAGAGGACATTGCCGTTTTTATTGATCTGTGACATGCGTTTAAAGAAAACAGAGTGGGTGTACTCTGCAAACACAGCTTCCAGATAATTCCCGGATCTTAGCCAGTTTTAGCCCTGTGATGACCTCCCCAGACAAAGGCCGGTGGTCTAACCGAAAACCATGGTGTTTGCCGCACAAATGCAGCCTCAGTGCAAGTGTCCTCGGTGTCCACCCCACCCCCGGCGTCAGGTTGCCACTCCTAAGCGTCTCTTACCGGAAACTCTGGACCCACCGTGCGGGTCGTGTTGTACAGGTGGAGTCCTAGAAACTTTTGCAAAATCGCGGATATCAGATAAGGACAGAAGTGTGAGATGCTTGGGCATTTCCATTTGCCTCTTGTTGGGTCCTGGTTTTCCAGCTTGATGGCGTCTCCAGGCCACCACTGCTGTAGTGTTCTGGGCATCTGTGTGGTCGGAAGGGTTGGCCCTCATGCACCTGTGCCTGGGTGACTGGTGAGCTGGTCTGCAGGGCAGAGCTGGGGGAACAATTCTTACATTATATCCTCCTGGCTCAGGACTGCAGTCAGCAGGGACAGGAAGGAGTGGGGTACTCTTCTGGAATGCAGTGGCTGCAATTTCCAGCGCCACGGGAGAGCTCAGCTCTTGCTGTGAAGAGTGCTGGAGACTTAGGAAGTCAGGGCGCTGCTGGAGGGACAGCCTCATGGTTTTCCAAGAATGGCCATCCTGGGAGTTGGAGGTTTGGAGAGTGGCCGTGGGCAGTGGTGGGTACAGACGAGACTGTGAAAGCAGGTTTGCCAGTAAGCTCCAGCCCCAAGTGTTTGCAGAGATGTCCTGCTTCCTTTCCTGCCTGGCCCCTACTCAACGCAAATTAAGCTGGACTGACCATCTGGCCAAGATGAGTTGTTACAGTGGGTACCCACAGGTGACTCTTTCTGAGGATGCTTTGAGGAGGAGGAGTTTTGCGGTGTTCTAGGCAGGACTGCTACAGAGTGTTGTGCAGGCTGTGCACTGCACAAAGGGCCTTGAGGAGGCAAGTGAGACTGAACCAGTCTGTGCTGCACACGCCGAGCTGTGCACCGTGGTGCTGGATCCGCCTGAGGAAGGGCCCCTCTTCGTGTTGCACAAAGGTATGAGCTCTGGCTGGCAGCAGACTTGTTCTGGGCTGGAGGATCTTCTCAGGGGATGGTAGTACACCTGTAAGGTCAGGGCTCACTTTCTTCCTTTTGTCTGATTCTTGGGTGGGGGGATTTAAGTGGGTGACCAGGAAAGTGGTCATTTCATCCCCAGTTTTGAGTCTTTGGCATCAGAACTGGGTTTTCATCCCACATACTTGCTCTGTGACCTTGGGCAAGTCCTACTCTTCTGGGCCTCCGTGTCTTCATTTATAGCGTGGCTGTAATGTCGCCTTCCTCCCTGGCTAGTATTTGGGCACGATGACATCATAGACTGTGCCTGCACGTAACTTCTTCCGTGTATCCAGTGCTTAAGGTGTGCTCTCACACTCCCATTCTGCAGACGAGGAAGCTGAGACTCAGAGCAGTTAGTGATGGACAGAGCGTGGGCTTAGAGTTGGGCAGACCGGGGTCGGGGTCTTGGCTCTCACCTGTGAGACGGGGCAGCCTGGCTGGGAGACTTAGGATTTCCGAGCCTCAGTTTCCACACTGTGAAGTGGAGAGGCCTCCCGCCCCCAAAGGGCTACTATGAGACTCAGTTACGGGACGATACAGAAATTGTCCAGTGCGATGCCAAACAGAGAGTGAGAGTTTATGATAATAATAACTGCGGACCTTTTTTTTTCACGTTTATCCTATGCTTTTTTCCATGTCTTTCACATTTAGCTCATTTACTCTTCACATCGGCCTTAGGAAGTAGGAATAATGATTATCCCCGTTTTTATAGATAAGGAAAGTGAGGCACAGAGCAGTTAAGTAATGTTCTCGAGGTCACATAGCTACTAAATATGCTTCAGTCACTTCTCCTCTTTCTTGGTCCTGGGTTTTGGAAGACGGGGTGGCCAGGATTCTGAGAGGCCCATGAGCCTCCCTCTAATGGGAGTTTCCTCGGAAACACCCTGTGGATTGAATACCTTCTCTGGGCAGACACTGCCTAGCGCTTTTAACTTGCACCATCTCACTGAACCCCAGAGAGCTCGGACGGGGGATTTGTCCACATGCACCCCAAAATGGAGTGCGGTCTGGTTTGATTTCCATCATCCGAATACCTCCCACATCATTTTGGCCAGGTCCCCTTACCCCTTCATACGTTCCCATTATTTCCCAATTTTTTACATGGATGCCTTATTGCCCTCCCCTCCTTTTAAAAAAACTTGAATACAATAACTTAAAAAGGAAATTTTATGTCAGAACCATGTATGAAAAACCAGGATCGTGAATGACTAATAGAAGAAAACTAGCAATAAATAAATATACGTCCAATGTTAGTTGGCTACCTACTGCCGCCTGCTTGAAGCCAAGGGCCTGAGCCCCGCCCTTTCTTTGTTACAAACGGAGGGAAATGATCAAGAGAGGTGTTTAAGACAAGCTAGTGCCGAACTGAGACTGTTTTGGAAGGAATGAGAGGCAGAGAGAATCAGAAGAGGAGTGACCTCACTGTTCCTTACCGACCTTCTCTGAAGGGTCTGAAGTCTTCCAAAGTTGGCCTTTCATCTCGAGAAATACTGGACACACCGCCTGCGTATGTGTCTCGTCTGGAGATTCTCGAGGTTGGTGTCAGCCTGGCTGCTTGGTTTCCTCGACTGTAAACTCAGGGGGCTCCTAGATGACCTTCTTTTCCCCATGACACTCGGTCGCTGTCAAGTGAAGGAAATCTCCCAGCATGTGGTTGGCGGAACAGTGGCCCATCAAAGACGCCTGTGGCCTAGTTCCCTGGAGCTCTGCATGTTATCTTACGTGGAGGAGGGGCCTTGGCTCATGTGACCCAGCTAAGGATCCCGAGATGAGGAGATTATTCTGATTATCCAGGTGGACCCAATGTAATCACAAGGGTCCTTACAAGAGGGAGGCGGGAGGGTCAGAGTCAGAAGGCAGCATGGTCTGGGCCCACAAGCCAAGGGATGCAGGCGGCCTCTAGAAGCTGGAGAAGGTGAGGAAGGGACTCTTCCGGAGCCTGCAGAAGGATCCAGCCCTGACGACGTGTTGAATGGAGCCCAGTGAGTGATTCCAGACTCTGGCCTGCAAAGCTGTAAGAGAACAGCTTTGTGTTGCTCTAAGCCGCTGGGTTTGGGGCACTTAGTTACAGAAGCAACAGGGACGGCATACACGGCAGAACCACATTCACAGACGTGTCCCGTCATGCGCGCCCCCGTTCCCGGGGGGTGAACCCTGGTGTTCAGGGGCAGCCTGGTTTGGTGAAGAAGGTCCAGCCTTGGACTCATCTGGGTGTGAGCTCAGCTCCAGCTCCCGCCTGAGCCGTGTGATTCCGGAAGGGTTCCCCTCTCCGAACCCTTTTCCCCATCTGAGAAGCAGATTTATTCATGGTCCTTTCCTCTAGAATTTTGTGGTGAAGAAATAAGTTCATATATACAAACAATCCATCTTAGATACCCATACATTTTGTTTCTTTCACAATCTAACCTTTGCATATTTTTCCTTGGAGGGCTCTTTGAAGCCAGTTGGGGGGGGAAATGGGAGACGCTTGTAGCGGTGGAATGGGCTGTGTTGAAACGGTCAGTTCTAAGCCTCAGTTTTCTCATCTGGAGAGGGGGTCTCCTAACACTTCCACCTCACGGTGTGTGGGGATGAAATGAGTTCACACGTTTGAGGTGCTTTGCGAAGTGCTGGCTCGTAGGTAGTGCTCAGTAGATGTCAGCTATTTTCACTGTAGTCCCTGTCACCACATTTCAGAACTTAGCGATCGTTCTAGTTTAACTTCCAAAAAGAGGAAGCTTCAGGAGGCCTGGAGAAGGAAGTGGGCTGCCTGAGCCTCGCAGCGAATGAGTGGCTGGCGGGGGCGGGCTCCTCCATCCCCTCCCCTTGTCCAGTGATCCCCCTTCTCAGCCTCGCGGTCATCAACGCTTTAGAATAGCGACATTTCATTTCATCTCTGACGCGTAACTTCTAGGTAGGGGGTGAGGGGACTCTGAGGTCAAGCTCCCTTATTTCTGTTGAGATCGTCGTAACCCTCAACAAAGGGTAAGAACAGCTCATGTTTATTGATCACGTACTAGGAGCTCTGGCCCGCTGGCTTCCTCTGCTCCAGCCACACTGGCCTTCTTACTATTTCTGAAATATGCCAAGAGTGCTCCACCGCAAGGCCTTTGCACTTGTTCCCTGTGTCTGAACTGCTTTTCCCAGATGTCTGCGAGGCTGCTCCCTCACTTCATTCCTCTTAGTTCAAAGATAAGCCTTCCCTGGCCACCTGTCTGAGGGAGAAAACAGCAAAGCCTTTACACTCCATTCTCCTCCCTGCCTTCTCTTTCTTCCTGGTCTTTATCACTATCTGGAGATATATGATGTATTTAAGGAATGGGCAAGTCAGGGTAAGCAGGTTTAAGATTGGTGAATTTAGATCATTTCAATGGGCTCTGGGACAAAGGGGCTGTCCCTAGTTGTGAGGTGCCTGGCCCGGGGTGATTAAGGCAGGTGGATAGTGGCCTGGAGTGAGAGAGCCAGTGAAGGAGAGGGTTGGGAGTGGGCTCTGGATGGGTTGGTTTACATTGGAAAAGCACACACACACACACACACATACACATGCACACACACACACACACACGGGTGAGTTGTTTACTATCTCTAGGAATTAGCGAGCCGTGGGAGGGGCTGACCCACCAGGGTCAGCAAGGTCTCAAGATGTCAGAGCATCACATACAGGAACAAGAAAGTAGGGTTGTTACCATCTCCCCTACTCTTCTCTTCTCTCCCTGCGATCCAGCCTCATGGGCCTTCTGTTGGTTCTTTAAACCTACCAAGCTTGTTCCTGCCTCAGGGCCTTTGCACTTGCTGTTCTCTCTGCCTGGAATGCTCTTGCCTCTGATCTTCCACAGCTGGATCCTTCTGGTCATTCAAGTCTTAGCTCCAATGCATCTCCTCCAAGGAGTCCTCCTTGATTACCCCTTCGCAAGAACACTTGACCTCATCACCCCACAAAATACTCTCTAAAACAGCCTCCTGTTTTATTCCCTCCGTGGCGTACATCTCAATCTGAAGCAATTGTTATTTGTTCACTCTCCGCCTCCCCCATGAGGCTGTGAGCCACATCAGGGCAGGGCCCATGTCTGTCTTGTTCCCCCAGCATCCCTAGTGCCTAGGACAGTGTCGGGCACACAGGAGGTGCTCGGTAAACAAGTGAGTGAATGAATTTGGATTTGAACCCGGCTGTCTCTGATTTCAGAAGGCGTGCATTTTGTAACACCCCAGACTGCTCTCGGTTGATGAAGAGCTGTGCTGGAATCAGAGTTTCCAGCCATTTTGTTTTCAGCTGGGAAGGCAGAGGCCCCGAGGGGGCGTGGAGGGACTCTCCCAGCCCGGTGGTCCTGGTGCCCTCCCCGCCCATTTGACCCGTCACCTCGGAACCGCTCTTCTGAGGCTCAGCCAACTTTCCGCTGCCCGGAGCTCCTGCCAGGTGTGTAAACAGGCCCTTGTGATTCCTGGGGAGGTGGCGGGGGGCAGGATTGTGTTTCCTGACCTGGCTCGGCAGGATGGGGCCCTCCGGACGGAGGAGCAGGATTTCCTGACACCCCCACACCTTGAAGACACAAAGTCAGCACCCTCGCTAGGCCGGACCCTGGACAAGTGACACAGGTGCACGCAAACTGCTCCCCGCAGCTGAGAGGTCAGGGAGGAGGCACGCAGGCCCACGCCACCTCCTGGCAAGTCGTTTCCCTCCCCTGAGCCTCGATTTCCTCATCCACAAAGTGGGGGTAATGAAACCCACCTGCTGGGAAGACCCACCCGTGCCTGGCGCATAGTAGGTGATCAATGAAGGATGTGGCTGTTGCTATTACGCGCAAAACAGGGATACCAGGCCATCGGCTCTGTCTGCTTGTCCCCGACATTCACAAGGCAGGGACAGCCAATGAGAATGAGCCTGTGCTGGGGGTTGGGGGGGCTGCGGGCTATGATGCACAGAACAGATCCCCAGTCTGATAAAGACATCAGAAATGAGCTGGGGAGGCCAGCCCGCCCCTGCCACCAGCCCAAGGGTCCCCCTGGCCAGTGCGTTTTGCTCTCCTCTCCTGTGGGGGTCCTTACCAGCAGCCTGGGCTGAGAGGGGGATTTGATTTCAGCCGTGTTAAGCTCTCCTGCAGGAATGTGCCGGTCCCTGGGAGGCTGCATCCAGTTTGTTGATGTCCGGGCCGCATGCCTTATTCATGCCCTCTCTGTCCCCCCGGAGGCCTCCTGAGAGCCGCAGCCAGCACCACTCTAGCGCTTATTAAGTGCCAGGCACGGTTCACAGCACTCAGGATATGCTTGCTAGCTCATTTATGCTCGCACAGCTCAGTGGGGCACGTGCTGTTATTAGCCACCTTCACAGATGGGGAAACTGAGGCACAGCATGGCTTAGCCACCGGCCCAAGCTCCCACAGCTTGGAAGTGTCAGAGCTGGGGTTCTAACCCTGGCATTCTAGCTCCAGAGTCTGTGCTCTTAGCCACGCTGTGTGACGCAGGGGATGGACCCATTTTACACATGAGAAGGCCGAGGCTCAGAGAGGGGGAGCCACTTACCGGGCACCTCACAGCCGTTGAATGAGAGGTCGGGCTGGCATTCGAACCTACATCTGCCTTGTTGAAAGCCCACGCTCCTTCATGGCTCAGTGGAAGCAAAGCGGGAAGGAGTGAGTGTGCTGGATGGAGTGGGGGACGTCAAGAAAGGCTGCCCAGAGGAGAGACGTGTCATTCTGATGCTGGAGTAGGAGTTTGGAATTCCCAGGGAGCTCTCTGGAGACAAGAACTAACATGGGTGCTCAAGCATTATGGGTAGGAGCTTGGGTTTGTCTGCTTGGGTTCAAATCCTGACTTTTTAATATGCTGTGTGATCTTGGGCCAGTTACTTAATCTCTCTGTGCCTCAGTTTCCTCATCTGTAAGTGGGTATGAGAATAATCGATGATGCTTGTAAAGGGCTCAACAATTGTTGGCTACCTTCATAGACAAATCACCTGCTGTGTTCTGGGCTCTGGGAAATACTTTAAATCAGTGGTTCTCAAGTGTTTTGCTCCCCAGGAGACATTTGGCAATGTCTGGAGACATTTTTGATTGTCAGAACTCAATGGAGGTGCTGCTGGCATCTGGTGGGTGGAAGCCAGGGATGCTGCTAAACACCCTGCCATGCACGGGACTCCCCACACAGAGAGCTCCCAGGCCCCAAATGTCAGTGATGCTGCGGCTGAGAACCGCTGCTCTGAACGCATTCGCTCTTCTGGTCCCCGGACAAGCCTGTGAGGCAGCCCTTGTCCCACTGTCCGTCAAGGGGACGGGACCTTGGGGATGGCCGGGCCTGCGCTGGGCACAGGCCTGGAGCAGACGGCCTGCGGGGTGCAGAGGACTGGGAAGCGAGGGCGTTCCGGGGCAGATCAGCCGGGCCCCAGCCTGGCTCAGAGACCGCTAGGCTCCGCGGGAGGCAGCTGGCCCGTCCCCTCTGCCCTCAGGGCCCACAGCGGGCAGAAAGGCCTCTGTCCCTTGGTTGGGAGCAACAACAAGAGAAGCCCTTGTTCACTGCCACCCACAGCCCCGATTGTCCCCTGGCTTTCACATGCCGCTCGCACCTTTCTCCCATGACAGGCCGCTTTTCTGGCTGGTTCTGGAGGCCTGCGTGGGGGGAGGGGAGTGCAGGAAATTCTTCCTGCCCCTTTTAACTCTTTCCTGCCCCCTCCTGGCCCCTTGGGCTTCTCTGGAAAGGGCTGGGACTCAGCAGACTTTCTCGTGGTGCCGGAGCGGGGCAATTTACAGCAGAGCCCGAGCCTAGGAGTGTAGGCAGCTGCCTGAGATGGGGCGTCCAGCCTGGCGAGCCTGGCGGCGGCCTGCTGCGATACCCTGCCTGCCGCCCGGCTCCCGCCTCTGCCTGGGCGCTGGGGAGACTGAGCCCTATTCCCAGAGGACCCTCTCACCCCTGCTGGACTGCCGTCGACCCGGGAGACCTGGCTCCATTTCCTGCTCCTGATCTTTTTCTTCTGTGGGACCTGGACCTCCTCCAGACCTCGGCTTTCCTCCTTCGGAAAAGGGGTCTGTCCAGAATCACCAGGCTTATGTGTCCCCCAGAGTCACTTTCTGAGGAGGAGAGGGCCGCATTGTGAGAGTGTGAACTCCTGCACCAGACTTCCTGGCCTCCAGTCTTGCTCTCCCACTATTTGACTGTGTGACTTTGGGCAAGTTACTTAGCCTCTCTGTGTCTCAATTTCCTCCTCTGTAAAATGGGGACACTGATAGGACCTGCGTCACAGGGGTGTTGTGAAGATTGGTTCATGCCCCTGAAGGACTTTGGGCTGTGCCTGGTGCATGAGAGGTACCAGGGACATGTCTGCTCCTCGTATTGTTGTGACTAGTAGCAAGAGTAGTGTCATTTGCGTTACAAATGCACCTGGGGATCCCATCTCGGGGTCTGGCAGCGCATTCTAGGGGCTAGCCCTGCTCCTGACTGCTCTCGGCATCTTCCCTTTGCTTGTGTGCGGGCTCTTGGGTTCTCTGAGCCTCTGTTTGCTCCCCTACAGGATGGCATAAGGCTCAGCTCCTCGGGGCTTGCAGAGATGGAGCAAGATAGTGCTTATTTAGAGGAAACCCTTGCCCTCTGCCCTTGTGCATGGTTGGGGGCATGTAAAGTGGCGCAGCCACTATGGAAAACAGTGTGGGGGGTCCTCGACCACCACAGGATCCGGCAATTCCACCTCTGGGTATTTAGCCAAAGAAAATGAAAACACTAACTGGAAAAAAATACCTGCAGCCCCATGTCCATCGCAGCATTAGTTACAGTAGCCAAGACACGGAAGCAACCTCAGTGCCCACTGATGGGTGAGTGGATAAAGAATATGTCACACACACACACACACACACACTCTCACTCACTCACGGACTATTACTCAGCCATGAAAAAAGAGTGACGTCTTGCTATTTGTGACATGGATGGACCTGGAGAGTATTGTGCTTCGTGGAATAAGTCAGACAGAGAACAGCAAATACCATATGAT